GAGGTTTTTTAAAAAACAAAATTTTGCATTTTTGTTTTTTAATATCTGTAATTTATTTTATTTATTTTTATGTGATGCTGAAGATTGAACCCAGTGCTTCACATGTGTGAGGCAAGCACTCTACTGCTGAGTTACAACCCCAGCTCCAAGGAGTTTTAAGATAGAAAAATACAGTTAAACAGATTTTGTTCTACAGAAAAACCTTCTTAATCCAGTTGCTGAACAGTTACCAGAGGTTAACTTTGCTATAATCACACAGAAAATGAATCTGTGAAGTTAGGTTCCTTATAAAGAAGTCAGAAGCACTCTAAGCAGCCAGTTCTCTTTTTCTCTCTCATGCACACATAGGCTACTGTTGCAAATATCATTTTAACAGTGCTGTAAGTAAAAAGTTTATTCAAGCATGGCAATGAAATAAAATCCTTTTATAATATTCTATGGAACCAGATTTCAGTTGTTTTTATGCTTGTGTTGTCAGTGTTTTAGTTTGTGATTATTTTATACAATGAGGAAATTGAGGAACACTAAAAGAATTAGTGTTAACGTTTAAACTGGAACACTGAAAATAAGACAGAAGAAATGACCTGTGTTTCTATAGAATGAAAACATACAGCAAGAAGGCACCCAAGAGTCTTCCTAGTGACCTGCAGGTGAAGAAAAGGGGACTTCCAAAAATAAACAGATTTTAACATTAAAATTCACTGTACACCCAAGGGGGCTGTGAAATCATGAAGACTTTTGTCACAGATTAAAGAACAAATACTGAAAAGAGGAGGATAATAGAGATTTATAAAAAAGTTTGTTAAGGGCTTTGTGGATGCTAGGCAGTTCTCTACCACTTTGCTACATCCCCAGTTTTCCTATATGCTTTTTTTTTTTTTTTTTTTTTGTGGTACCAGGGATTGAACTGAGGAGCACCCAACTACTGAGCCGCATCCCCAGCCCTAATTTGGATTTTATTTAGAGAGGGTCTCACTGAGTTGCTTAGCACCTCGATTTTTCTGAGGCTGGCTTTGAACTGGCGATCCTCCTGCCTCAGCTTCCCGAGCTGCTGGGATTGCAGGCAAGCTGCTGGGATTGTAGGCATGTGCTACCGGGCCTGGCTTGTATGCACCTTTTAAAGGAAACATTTTTTATCTGCAAAAGACCTTGGTAGGAGGGACATCAACTGCAYAAAAGCTATAACCCACATATCCAAAGGCATCTGTTTACAGTTAGAAGAAAGGAGAAGACAAGGGAAAGGGATGAGGTAGACAAGAATTATGTAACAAAAAATTAGCAACAAGGACACTTGGTGAGATACTGGTATTTGCCACTGTTCTTATTTGATTTGTATTACACTTTTTGATACTTGAAACAGATGGCCATTTTAACATTCAGTTAATAACTTGATTTAGGTCTTCCACTCTTTTGGCGTCTGTTTATATACTTTTGTCTCCTTCCCCAAATGTATACTTTTATGTTTGTGGTGAATGGAATCATTATAAAAAAATCAAATGGGTGATTTTTAGGAAGGGAAATAATTTCAATTTTGAGAGTGATTATACCTAAGCAGTGACTAATTTCACTTTGTTAATAACTAAAGGATTTAGTTTTTATAGTAATTAAAAAATTTCTTTTGAGAATTTTTGGAAAAATGCCTTAATAGGCTAAGCTTTTCAATAAGAAACTTTGGAAAGAACTGAGGATTTGATAAAAGAAATTACCTAATATGGGTCTTGTTGCTGAATAATAAAGAATAACATTCAATATTTTTTATTTTTATGTGGTGCTGAGGATTGAACCCAGCGCCTTGCACATGCTAGGCGAGTGCTCTACCACTGTACCACAGCCTCAGTCCCCAAAAGGAATTGCATTTTGTTATTTTTTTTCCCTTGTGAATATCCAAAATCTATCTAACTGTAACCAASGCTATTTGTTTTTTGAATGGATACTTCTTTTATATTACTTAAGTTTTAGTACAAAGCATTTCAATTAAGACATATTTCAAATGTTAGAAAGTATTCCAAAAGTTCAGAGTGAAAGGGGATAAGGGACTTGAATGCAAAAACACAGCTGAGGTGTGAGGAGTGCACACTTCCTCTTTTGTAACTCCTAGTGGTCAGAAAGAGGCAATTCTGTCTGAGACCAGCTTAAAGTAGAATCTCACACATATTTGGWGGGAAGAGAATTTATCTGCAAGAAAAAAAATTTTTTTTTGATATTGGGTATTGAACCTAGGGGTGCTATACCTAGCCCTTTTAATTTTTTTATTATTATTTTAAAAATATTTTTTTAGTTATATAAGAACATAATACCATCATTTTATTTATTTATTTTTATGTGGTGCTGAGGATCAAACTCAGTGCCTCATGCTTACCAGACGAGTGCTCTACCACTGAGCCACAAACCCAGCCTTATTTTTTATTTTTGAAATTGAGTCTCACTAAGTTTCTGAAACTGGCCTTGAATTTACGATCCTCCTGCCTTCGCCTCCTAAGTTGCTGGTATTACAGATGTGTTTCACCTCACCCAGTTTTTGGCAAGGAATTTTACTGTGGCAGTGGAGATCAAATCCAGGGGAGCTTTACCACTGCACTTTATTGTCAGCTCTTTTTATTTTCTTATTTTTGAAACAGAGTCTTGTTAATTTGCTGAGGCTGGTCTTGAACTTGTTATCCTTCTGCCTTAGCCTCCCAAGCTGCTGGAATTAACAGACATGTGCCATTGCACTGGGTCCGGTGGACTTTATACAGTGTGGTCTTCTACTAATATTTAAAGGGAACATTACTTTGAAAATAATTTGGAAAAAAATACAATTTCCAAAATATTTTCTTTTCAGCAAATTATTATTATTATTATTTTTTTTTACAAAGAAAGCTAAAGTATGTACAAACTAATAATGGACTCTTGGACTTTGTAGTAAAGATTGTAGTAAAGATAAAGATTGCCCTATTATTTGAACCATTAGTAGTTGCTGTGAGAAATAATCTCAAATGACAAGGCATACGTTAGAAGTGTGTGAGCCGTGTGATTGTATTAACTAAATCTACACAGATTTGCAAACAATTTGGGTAGCTTTTTTCATGGCCATTGCACTACTAGATTCCTAGTTAATCTTGCTGGTTTTGGTAAAGGCTAATTCTTAATTGCTTGGGAATATCTAATGTTGACATTTGCAGTTTCTATTCTTGTGCATTTTAATGCCAAAGAATCTTTTGTCACTGTTAAAAATATGAGAATTTTATTTAGCTAATAAATCTGTAGTTTTAAAAGCTCTTAAGTAGCCAGAAATCATAGGTTGAACAATATTTTTCACTGGAGCACTTTTCTCTCTCTCTTTTTTAATATATATATTTTTAGTTGTAGATGGACACAATACCTTTATTTTATGTATTTATTTTTATGTGGTGCTGAGAATTGAACCCAGTGCCTTAAATGTGCTAGGTAAACGCTCCACCACTGAGCTACAACCCAGCCCACTTCTTTCTTTCTGTAGAGACAGTGTCTCAAAATCGTGGGCTCAGATTATCCTCTCTTTAGCCTCCTGGAATAGATGGGACTACAGGCATCTTCCACCAAGCCTGCCTAGAGCTTTTAAAAAAAATTGACCATGTAGTTTTTTGTTTGTTTGTTTTTAATTGACAGTGCACATATTATAAGGTACAATGTAATATTTCAAGACATGGATAACATGATCATAGCAGGGTATACCTGTGTATACCCTGTGTATACCTGTGTCGAGATGGGCAAAGATGTGACTTATACGAGGGGGGAGAAATAAAGAATGTCCACGTGCTTCTGCCCTTTCAATGCTTTATTCACTCAAATCACTCAATACAATTTCACTCTATAGGTCCTTAAAGAAAATGACAATCCTTAATGTTAGGCACTGCAGTAGACACAATCAATCCACAGCAAACTGCAAACACTCTCAATCATGACAGGCTCATGACAGACATTCCCTCTGCATGCTAAGCTCAAGTGCCAGATCAAGCCTTTGGCTCTAAGTCCAGCAAGTGCATACACACAGTGATCATGTCAGGAACCAAGGCAGACTTCTCCTGGGGTGGAGCTGACAGCTGGTTGAGGAGAGGGTTGTAGGGATAAGTTGCAGTTCTCACAGGGTCAAGATGTGCCTGTAGAGTTTGAGAGCAGTGAGGAAGGTGCAGAGGATCAGGCAAACGATGAGAAGAGTTGGGATGTCAGTGCAGGTCCTCATCAGGCTGTCCAGCATGAGGGCATCACTGTTGGCTGGCTGAATGTCTRTTCATTTGCTCCATCATTTATACTAAATTTTGGGGCTTCTGACCACTCTTTCAATCCCTATCAGCTGCCACCGTATTTCTCAGTGATGTTATATGCCCTGGGGTTAAAACATCTGGTCTGGTGGTCTCCATTCCTGATTTATTTGCTTCTCCCCCTTATTGGGGTGAGGGCAACATGACAGAGACTTCACTCTGAGCTTATCAGGGTAGTGATAAGGGAGAAGTGATTTGTTTATGTCAGGGCTATGCCTGATGATGATAATATTGGAGGCATTCCTGGTGAGACTTCAGATTTCAAAGTGGAGTTTTAAAATGGAGTTGCTTAGGCTAAGGCCTAAGGCCATCCCTACAATCTGTTACTTAAAACATTTATATTTCTTTGTATTGGAAATATTACAAATCCTCTCTAATAGCTATTTTGAAATGTACAATTAGTTGTTGCCGGAAGTAGTTATCCTACTTACTGTACCATAGAACATGAGCTTTTCCTCCAATCTAGCTGCGTATTGGAGGACTCCAGTTCTCCCCATGATTTTGATGTGATTGTAATTGGCTATAGGTTATGGTTTAATATGTTCATTGGCACAAGTTTTCTGTCCTTCATGTCTTGGACAGATGTGAAACACCAATGTTTTCCTCATGTATTTGTAGTTATTCTCTCATGTATGAAAGCCATGCTTGTGTTGTGTTTACATTATAATTAAAATGTGTATCAAACGCCACGTTGTTAATGATGCTATTCTTTGATGGCAGTGCTGGGAGAAGGACTGGCTAAGGGAGAGGGTGCCTTTCGGACAGTGCTTTGCTGCATGCAGCTGAAAGGAAAGCTCCAGCCTGTATCCACCATTCTTGCCAAGTCACTGACGGGAGAGTCCCTGGTATGTTGATGGGCTTGAAATTTGAATGCCTGAACACCTTTGACTCCTTAGCTGTATTATGGGAAAAAAATAGTGTGCATTTTTCCTCTTAGGTCTTCCTTTCAGAAATCAAAGTTCACGAGACTCTTGAGATTTTCTGTTGAAGCTTATTTTTTTCCTTTAACAAAATTATGTTTAAATTATTGGATTGTTTTAGCTTATAATTATGTATTTTAATATCACATGTACTTATAAAATATTTTAAAGTATAGGATTACTAAATGATTTCCTTTTTTAAAAAATTCTTTTAGTTGTTGATGGACACACAATATCTTTATTTATTTTATGTGGTGCTGAGGATTGAACCCAGTGCCTCACACATGCGAGGCAAGTGCTTTACCACTGAGTTTCAGCCCCTTCCCCTAAATGATTTTCTTTAAAAATACAATTTCATAGAGCCTCAAAGCATCTTTTAAAATGCTTCTTATAGTATTCTTAAATTAAGCCATTTATTTTATAAAATTTGTTTAACTATTGTCATGTAAGAAAAAAATTTGTTTAAACTTGTCTAGACTATATAATAATTTTGTTTCTGAAGATGGTATGTGTATAAATTAATATTCATAACCACTCTGAAAGAATTACGTAATTATTCAGACTTAGGACCCATAAAAAAATATGTAGCATTCAATTTTCTGAAAAAGTTGTTTTGGTTGGGATAAATGAAAGACTACTTGTTTTGAACTTTAGAGTTGATAATCTGTAGAAATTGAAAAAGAGGGGCTGGAGTTGTAGCTCAGCTGTACAGCGCTTGCCTCATACATGTGAGGCACCGGGTTCGATTCCCAGCACCACATATAAATAAGCAAAAAAATAAAGGTCCATCAACAACTAAAATAAAAGAAAAAAAAAGAAAAAGAGATAGTAACTTTTTTACCAGTTGTTAGTGGTATAAACATGGCTGATATTTTTCAGGAATTATAATGAAAAATAGTGAAAACAAGAAATGTATATGTATACTTTGCTGTGCAGTGTGTGACTTATTCGTACTTACTCTTCTGAATTGATATGAAAATCTAGGGCACAGTTACATTTTCACTGCAAAGATATATATTGGGTACAAAAATAGAAATTAGGAAAGTACTTGGTAGATTTTAAGTTATTGGTCCATCTCAGGGTAATTTATTCATTTTCTAAGGAATTATTATGTGGTGAATTGTTTTTTTAATTGTCAGTGTCTCTTGATTTCACACACTTTACAAATGGATTTAAAAGTAAAATATATTATCAATATAGCAAAATTAGATATTAATTCTAAATAGATAGTCAAGAGTATCTCTCATTTATAATTAAGATAATCCTAAGCTTTTTTTTGCATGTAAGCTAAACTTTTTACAGTTGTACCCATCGGGCTTTTAAATTTAGAAATAGTAAAAAGCAATTTGCTTATAAATCTCAAGTGAAATTTGAATTTTAGAAACATGAATATTTTCCTTCAATAACTTCATTATTGAGCCATATTTAAAGCAGTATGATCATTTTATGTGAATCTTGGAGTCATAGGTAACTGTTTTGAGTTCTCCATTTTCCATATATAAAATCATTAATCCTAGGGGAAAAAAGTAAAAAAAAAATTAGATTTGTTTTTAAATTCACTTACATTTTGCTGTACCTGTTTGAATTTTTTATTTAATTAATTTTAAACTCTTTTTTTATAAGGTGCATACAGAGTCATGCATACTGAATTAGTTTTTCCTGTTAACCTTTTTTTTTTTTTTTTTTTTGGAGTTGTAGATGGGCAGTATGCCTTTATTTTTGTTTATTTTTATGTGGTGCTAAGGATTGAACCCAGTGCCTCAAATGTGCTAAGCAAGTGCTCTACCACTGAGCTACAACCCCAGCCCAGTCCTGTTAACCATTTTAACCTTTCCCCATACATGTGTAGTTCTATTACCAGCATTAGTGGTAATCAGATCCAGGGATGAGGATAATTTTGTTTTTTAAAGATAAACTTCCAAAATGATGGAGGAATGCAGAGCTCAGTTGCCATAGTAAAGAATGAATATTCTGATTTGACTGTGTCTAAATAGTGGAGTGCTTTCTTGGCGTGTGTGAGGCCCTAGGTTCAATCCTCAGCACTACAAACAAACAACCAATCAACCAAACAAACAAAAGAAAAAGAAAACAGAAAACTAATCTTGTAATTTGTTTTCTCTTTTTTATTTCACCCTTTTAGAATGGGATGGTAACAAAAGATTTGACAAGATTAAAAACTCTTCTCATGGAAACAGAGGTAAGTTGGCTTCAGGAAATCTCTTTGGAAGAGTCTGATTCTGAGTGGATGGTGAGCATTGGGTGTTAAAATTTGAAAAATCACTGTGGCATCAGCCAAGCAGGCAGGGCTACAAAAGTGAACAGTGGGACCTTCCRTCTCCCCTGTGACCCAGTTGAGTCCTGTCCTAGGAATGTTGCTTCTTCTTATGTCTTCTCTGCATCCCAGGTGTTCTGTTCTGTTCCTAATTCTTATTGGTTGTCTGGCTGCCAAATAGAAGAGATGTTTGGGAAATTTTAATTTTTAAGTACTTCTGGCTGTTAGAAAATGCTATCATTAAAAAATGTGATAATATAAAAACAAAATAAGATATTYCATATGCTAAAAGCAAAGAAATTCTGTGACTTTTGGATTTTTTTTAGGGAATGGGTTTAGGAGACAGAAATTATGTGTATCAAAGTAAATGGTGAACAAAAATGTGCTCCAGTGAAGGACTGGAAACAGTGAAGGACTTGTTGTCCCTGTTGTTGATAGGGACAATAATGGCATGTAAAAGGCACATAGTTTTATTAATCCCACATTTTTATTCCTCATCCAATATATATAAAAAATTTTTTTATTAAATGTCTTATTTTAAAAAGAGCCATTTTGTCAGCTTTTATCATAAGTGGAAGCCCAGGTAAGGTGATTATTTGATTTGCCTTATTTTTTAAGGAATTGAGCACCTGCTATGTGCTAAGTACAATGCTTGGTGCTGGGGATATAGCCTTAAACAAGACACTCCTGGTCCTTTCTGTCTGGGAAGTTAAAGTCTTGGGGAGGAGATAGAAAATAAATGAATTAATCAAACAGTTGTAGGCACATTTCATATCAAGGGAAAAGAATTAGCTTTTCTGCTGGAGAAAGAATCACTGGTTCAGGTGGCCAGGAACTGAGATAGTTAAGCTGAGAGTCGAGAAGCTGTTGGTCTCCAGGAGGGTGCTACAGCTAGGGGAGAGGGTTAGGCAGAGACTTGGGTACCAGCCTAGACCTCCTGTGATTTCCTTTCTCATTGCAAATCTAATAACACATCCCAGCTAAAACTAACAGCCAACAAAGAAAACAGTTAAGGATTATACAAGCTGAATGAAGAACTGTTTTGCTATTATCAGATCTTTTTTTTTTTAGTCATTTTCTTTGTCTTATGTTACCGTATTATGAATGAATCAAGAATCACTAAGGTCTCATTAATTTCAAAGCCATTTCCTTTCTTGTATATGTGTAAGTCTTTAATTTCTAAGAAATAACAAAACAGTTATAAATGTTTGAGACTTTAAGAATATAAAATAAAATGACCTTTCATTTTATCAAGATTTTTGAATTTGCTCTTCCCTTTTATTGCCTTATTTGAATTAATAGCTTCATAAACCTGGTAATGACACACACATACGTTAAAATTTTTATTTTTAAGCCAGGTATGGTAGTGTATGCCTGTAATTCCAGTGACGTGGGAGATGTGAGACAGGAAAATTGCAAGTTTGAGGCCAGCCTCAAACTTAGTAAGACTCTGTCTCAAAAATAAATAAATAAAAGAGCTGGAGACTAGGTTGTGGYTCAGTGGTAGAGTGCTAGCCTAGCACATGCAAGGTGCTGGGTTCGATCCTCATTACCATATAAAAATGAATAAATGAAATGAAGGTATTGTGTCCAACTACAACTAAAATAAGGGGGGGGGGTGGCGGGAGATGTACTTCAGTGGTAAAGCACCTCTGGGTTCAATCCCCAGACCAAAAAGCAAAATGATTTTTACTTTTAATGTTTATAATCCTGTTACATGTAAGAACACAAATACTACTTGCCTCTTTACTTTATGATTATACCATTACAAGAAGTGACTTAAGTTTTGTTTGTAATTTCTATGTGAACAGAATAATATTCTTTTTGGTTAGTGAACTGCTAATATTTAAAAAAAAAAATCCATCTTGGAAAAACTAACGCACCCTGCTTCCCTTACTAATGTACACGCAACAAATTTAGAAGTAACAGTAATTTGTTATTTAAAGATTGAATTGAGCTGTTATTTAACTTGTAAATGTTAGTGGATGAGGATCAATACTTGGACCAAAAGCCTGATTCATAAAAACAAAAACGATAAATATTCCTTAGTGAAGTATGAAGTGTCTAATCAATAGATTTGATTGTGAATTTGAAAGAGGTGTAGCAGTGTAATCTGTGGCTTTTTTCCCTGAAGGTGTCAGTAAAGACTGAATATCATAACTAACAGATAATTACCCATCTCTTTTGGGGTCTGAGCACATAAAAAAAGTATTTAAAAACAAAAATGAAACCTTGGAACCTAAAAGACAGGATAGCCAGTAGTCAGCCAGGCTCAGGCTTGTTTTACCGTTGCTCCWGGTGAGGATGTCCACTTCACCCATGAGCACTGGTTGAGACCTGTTGTATCAGCACAGACTCAACTGCTGGCTCACAGTCATCCCTGATGCTACATGGAATGCACCATGTGTTTGTCCCTTCCAACAGTTGTAAATGTTTTAGATTTATTTGATGGTCCAAACATTTCATTGCCATTGTTTCTCTTATGCATTTGGTAAGCTAATTTTGATAAGTTTTAAAGAAAAGGTCTTAATTGCCAACATGGTGTGTGTTTTGTATATATACCGTGGAGTGTGCTAAGGCACATGGAAGACTGATTAACACAAGGTACTGAGATTTTTTTCAAGAAACAGCTGTCAAATCTCAAAAGTTTGATTTAAATGTGAAGTTTGCTAATGCGCTACTGAACTTTAAATCTCCAGCACAATCATTGTAAACATAGGGTTTGTCTGTATTTTCCTAAATTGATTTCTGGCTTCTGATCTGTAATTATTGGAAAACTATTTCCATTTTGCCTGTTTCCGAGTTTTGGTAAATAGCCATTATTCAAATTTAAAATACCTCTAATTTAATGCCAATAAAATTGGTTGTAACCAAATTTTAAATTAATAATGATTCCCCCTTAAAAAAAGAATATGTGTTAAATTTTTTCATGCTTGAAGCGAGTTGTTTAGCTTTTATATTTATATGTTCTATTAAATAGAGTCATATTTTAAGAGTTAGTAGGGGTACACATAGACCTGGCTTATAAAATTTAAAGAGATTTTTTGGTGTGTCTTTTTAAATAAACATATAATAGTGTGTATAATAATCATTTCATTCCTGTTTTACTGTTTGTCTATTTTTATATTCAGTTTCTCATTTTACAAAAAAATGGTTTATCTTTAGAACCTGATTAGTAAGTAGGTTGGTGGAAAATCAGAAGGCCCTTTTCTGTAGAAACAGTATTACAGTGATTTTGTTCTAGCCCAAGCTAAAATCTTCAATTTGATTAACCACATATAAAGGACAATGACATTATTATTGCAGCCATTTGACATTTATGACATTATATTCTTTCTGTAAGACATTCCAAATTTCATCTTAGGATACTGAGTTTCCTGCTTTTGATTCAGTTTAACATTTACTTGGACTACTCAAGGCTCTGGACGGCTGAACTGTGTGTGGAAAGCTCTCTAGAGAGCCATTTGAGACGTACGTGGTGATGGAAACATAAGCAGGGAGAGGAGAGGTGAACACTGCAGAGCAGAGCAGAGCATAGTTACTGAATTTATAGGATGAGGGCATCTAAGTAAAGACCCAGAAGTAACTTGGTACAGTGTAATTGGCACACAGTCAGTTGGTTCAGGGACAGAAGAGACAGGTGGTAGGATGGTGGACAGATATGAGAGACATTCTAGATCTGCTTGGGCAAGATTTGGAGGATACTCAAGATAGAAGAGGGAAGTGTTTAAGATGGCTTTTAAAATTTCAGTCTGACTTTCTTTGGGAAGGAAGACTACATTAACTTGAGATAAAAAGTATTGGAAGTGGGAGGGAGGTTCAGGTTTAGGGTAAAGTTGATGAGTTTTGTTTTGTGTGTGAAGTGCTTAGGTGATCACCCACCCACCTAGCATTTTATTGACTACTCATTATGTGCCAGTACCCTGGGAGGTATGGGAATGCAGAAAGGCAGTTGTATACTGTTGACAGCAAATCTGTACATAGCTGGGAATGATCCAGCATGCAAGAGGCTGCAGAATAATTTTTTAAAAAGTGCACTAGTTGGCACTTGTTCGAAATTGAGAGTGTGGAGCTTAGGGTAAAGTTAGAGCCCAAAGTGCTAATTTGGCATTTATCTAAGGCAGTTAGAGTGAGTGGATCCCCAGCTTTTGACTTCATTGTGAAAGAAGCGTTTATCCCAGATTGAGGGGGACTTGGTAGAGACTGCTTCAAGGCCCAGAGGTTGTAGCATGCCATTAGCTATGGGAGAAAACATACCACCCTCATGGGTCATTCTCTAGATGTTATAGGTATGATGACACAGAGGGAAATGAACAAATGGATGGGAGGTGCTACCCCCCATTCAGTTCAGAACAGACTTTTTTCTTCTGCTACCAGGTGTATTCTTATGGGGAGTTCTCTATCAGTTTCCTGAAAGAGGGTCTGACAAGTGCTGCTTTTCCATATTTTATTATAGTTGAACATAGAACAAAGAGCACAAAATATCCCTTGTAACATACTAGTGTTATTAAATATTTTTTAAGTATTCAAACTCTRCTTTTTTATGTTAGAAATATCCAAGTTTAATTCAGCATCAACTTGTTATTTCTTGTTTGTCTTACATGTCTTTCATTTGAAAAATTGCAGACAGCAACTAGTAACGTCCTCTCTGGATATCATGTGGAAGACTTTGATGAAGGTAAGTACCAAATCTTGTGTAACTTTTGATAGCTGTGAATCTGGGCTTTTTTTTTTTTTAATTGATTATTGGGAGGAAATTTACTGAGTTATGGTACATGTAAGTGGAGATGTATGAAAGAATATAAACATTTGAGAAATAGTTGTGGATGAAAGCCATTTTCTCCTTGACACTCTTTTATAGATGAATGGGGCAGAGTGGAGGTAGAAGGTAATAACACTGGAGTTCATCTAGTTCATCCTCTTGCCTCTGTATAGGACTAAATTTAAAGCTTATCCTTAGCTCTTCTCCTCTTCATCTCTTCTCTTCCCTCTCTCCCTCTCCCATTGGCTAGTATAATCATTATCTTTTTTTTTTAAGTTCTGATCTGTAAACTGAGTTGTTCCTGTCTAATTAAGCCTTCCCTCTCCATTTACCAGAGGAAAGGGAAGAGAGACCAACATTAATTGGTGTTTGCCACATGCTGTCTTTCACAGAACAATGCTGACTTCTTAGGGTCCTTCTCTATCTTTTTGATAGGTGATGAAGTGGATATTTGTTAAGGTTTAGTACTTTCCCCAAAGTCACCCTGCTAGTAAGGGATGAAGCATATCTTTAAATTTAACTTGGCTGAATTTTTAACCCCTTGTAGTGGGAGGCACAGTGACATGGGAGGAAGTAGAAAATGGCTGCTTAGCCTCAAGCTGTTGTTTTTCCTCTTAAGCTTCATTTTCATTGGCTTATTTGGAATCTCATCTAAAATTGAAGTTCATTATACTCAGAATTAAACAAATTTTGTGTTTTGGCTCCTATCTCAGAAATAAACTTTTAAAATTTTATTTCAGTTATAAAAGAGGGTTACAGAATACAGAGACATGTGTCAGACAAATCCCAAGGAACATGAATGATGATGTGGAGCTTCTTACTCAGAGTGCAGTAGTGGAATTTGTTATGTAAGATTTCCTTGATAAAACCATTTTTTTCCTTCCTAAAGGAATTCCTGGTCGACATCTCATGCTTAAGAAATGACAAGCATGCCAAACTCCTCCCCTGGTTCTTAGGGAAGAGACTGCACTGATACAGGTCCACCAGTTTATAGGACAGGGCCAGGACCACCAACTTGCTTAAGTTAACTGCCTCTTCAGTGATTTTTTTGTTTCACCTACTTGATTGATTTAGCTTAGTTGATTGGTAGGTTACATTTTGGTAGAAGCTAGTATGTCATGTCCTATTTACATCATCTGGGATGATGTGTGTGGAGGGATTGTAGTGTTTCTTACACATTAAAATGTCAGAATTATTAGGTAGCCTCAAATGATAAGATTATATCCTGATTACTCCCTAGGGTCTTGTAATGGTTGGCATTTCCGCCCACCACCTAGGGGAATCACAAGCAGCGAGGAATATACTTTGTGTAAAAGGTAATGTGAATTTTTTTTTTTTTAAACCAATTACATGTCTTTGTTGAAAGGATAGACTATTTTCCTTTCTTTTTGGAAAGTAGTAATTCAAATTCAAAGAGGATAATAGTGAAGGAAGAAAAAGTATAATGATTGAGTAAAATGGTTTATTTTCCATATGAAATAGAAGCCACAAAGGTCATTGTCATTAAAGTCAAAATCATATCCATGAGCCTACTTTTAATTACAAACAACAATGATCTAAATGCAGGTTGTTAAGACTGTTCCAAAGTCTTTTATGAGGCCAGTTGTATTATTATGGTTGAGCTTAATTGCTGGTCTCTTATAAATATGAAATTTACTTAGCTAAGGTGATTGAAATTGAAATTGCTTTTCATAAACTAAAGTAGAACATAAAATAAAGGTATATTAAATTATATTAATAACTTTCCTGAAAAATTTTCATGTAATTCTTATATAGAATTATATTGAGTAATTTATATTTGAAGGGCTAACCTTTCAAAATTTAGTAATTACATATTCATGTAGAAAGAATTTATTAAAATCACATTTAAAAAGGTGAACTTTTCAGTTCTTTTTGTGAGAACGGGGTACTAGTAGAATTTTTCTTATTATTTTTTTGATAATAAGAAAACCTGATACGTGGTTTTGATGATTGACTAGTCAAGATATCAGATTTGATTTTGCAGTAGAAATAAAGAAACTAAATAGTAAATATTGAAAATCCTAGTGGCATTGTATTGTAGGTCAGATTGCATATAGTCCTATGGGAAGGAAAAATTTATAGTCCAGATGAGAACAGAAAACCTTCCTTTTTTTAGGGAAAAATAATACTTTAAAGCAAAACATACAATGACAAAGAAATTTTTGGCTCATGAAAACATGCTATGCTTAAATGATACATAAATATATGATTTTAAATGTGTCTTTTGAAGCATAAAATAATTTAATAAACAGCATAATTTTAAGTTCAAATGCTTTGTTGTATAGGAGAAGCTGTAGATACACTCAGCTTTCCAGTGTGGTAAGCCACTGGAAGACTTATGCTATGCTGTGGTTCATTTTATATTTCTTTCCAGCTAGATTTGAAAATTATTTATAATATCTCTCTTGTTTCTGTTTTGCTATTTATAGATTAATTTTCGTTTTTTTTCCTCTCAAAGATCTATCAATTTTTAAATGTTTTCATTGATTTAAAAACTGGCTTTACCCATCATTTTGTAGCATATTTGAAACTTTTTTTTAAAAAAATTAATGGTCAGAGCCCTTTTTATGTTTTTGACCACAAAATTAACAATTGATTTCTTTTTAAATTGTCTTTGGTTGACACATAATTGAGCATAAATATTTATGGGGTACAATATGATAGTTTGATGTTTGCATTCATTCATTGTGTAGTGATCAAATCAGTGTAGTTAGCATATTCATTAACTTAAACATTTATCATTTCTTTGTAGTTAGAACACTCAAAATCTTCTAGCTTTATGGAATATATACTATAATATTGTTAGCTGAAGTCACCCTAGTGTTCCAAGTCAAACACTGAAAAATCAGTAACTCTTGTATCCTTTAAAGTGAACATTTATTTATTTACCCCTTGAAGAATTGAATATGACTATTGAATAAATTTGGGACTCTGTAATATAAAACTCTTGTCCTGAATTTATTTGAAACTTAAATTAATACCATCCAATATTTTCAGTGAAGTATAGGTAATAGTTATATATAAATAGAGTAAAACTATTATATTTGAAGGTGAGAAGCAGTACCCTTACAATGATAATTTAATACCATATTAATTTGTTTCAGAATGCAATTCCTAGTATATGGAACATTTTCTTTAGGTCATATCGTTTTGGGAAGTACAGCTTACCTGTGTGTGAGCAGCTAATCCACTGATGTCAGTGTTGCTTTAAAAAAAAAAAAACCCTTAGAGGAATTATCCAGTAGAGCTCTTGTATCACAAAGGAAGTGACTTTTTGGTGTCTTTTGGGGGAAGGGGTTGTGACTGTACTGTGGTTTAGGGTCCCTTATTCCAGAGAAAGAAGTCAGTGAATGTGGGGTTGGTGTTTTGATTGTTATAAATGTTCTATAGTTCTTCAGACCTCCACTGTCTCCTTTGCAGTGTGATAAGTATGGCTTTCCAGAAGATGTTTTGTTTTTGTTCTTGAGGAGGCAGAGGGCAAATGCTGCAAGTTTATCTTTAATGGTTAAACAAAGTGTATGATAAAACAGTCTTTCCTGTTCCACTTAGATTTTTAGAGCAAGGAATCTGTAGGTATGGTGCCCAGTGTACTTCAGCACATTCCCAGGAAGAACTAGCAGAATGGCAGAAAAGATACGCTTCACGGTTGATAAAATTGAAACAACAAAATGAGAATAAACAGCTCTCAGGCAGTTACATGGAAACCTTGATAGAAAAGTGGATGAATTCATTATCTCCTGAGAAAGTGCTTAGTGAATGTATAGAAGGAGTAAAGGTGGAGCATAGTCCTGACCTGTCGGTTACTGTCAACACCAAAAAGTCTCACCAGACATGGACCTTTGCTCTCACTTGTAAGGTATGAGTTTTGTGCTCATTTAAGAATATAAGTTTTGTCAAGTTTTCTTCAAGCTTTTTTGGACCTTTTAATCTCTGTGTTAAGAGAGCACTAAAAATGTTTTAATCTAAGTACATCTCATGTAGGGTCTATATTGTGCTAAAGTGGAGTTCTGTATTTCAGTCATTAAAAGTACAATTTATTTTGACTTTGAGATACAATCTGTATAGTTATTTAGTATTCTTTTCTATTTATTTATTTGGTAAAGAAGTATTTGCCATATTATCTTACAAAACTGAAATGTAGGATGGGGTTCATGGCTTATAAATTAGCTATTCAAAAATTGAATTGTTTAATCTGGCAGTTTTAAGATTTTTAAATAACTTGATTTTCTATTTGATTTGAAGAGATTGCAAATTCTGTAATACAGTTTTAAATATGAGACTTTTCTGTAGTATTTCTTATCTTAAACTATAATAATCAAAGTTTAAGATTGAAGCAGAGTCAAAAATTTCTGTGACTATGTTCAGTGGAAAAGTTTTGTGTTCTTTTTGGTGGTGTTTCTTCCACTGTATCATCTGTATCTTGAGATGAAAAAGCTAAGAACATTTAGCTTCAGCCCTGAACCCAATCCAGGGCTTTCAGAGGTAATTGCCCTCCTATGAAGGCTTCCTATTTGAGGCTACATAAAACTTTTTAGGCAAAGTGTATGGAAAGTTGGAGGTCAAGGGTGACAGAAGGAGATAGATTTCGTCCAGTGAAAGACGAACATATCACAGAAGAAGCAGGGAGCTAGTGGTGTAGCATAAATATATCATTTTAACAACTGTTTTTTTTTAACCATTCTGACTTTTTCTTAAATCACTTATGAGCAGTTTGTATTTTGAGCATAGTATCTTAAAAGCATGGGAAAGTAACAGTCCCTTATGGAAATATTTTCGTTGAAGAGCCCAATTACAATTGGATTTTTCACCCCCTTGTACTCAATGCATTATTTTAACTTCCTTGTAGCCTGCAAGAATGCTGTATCGTGTAGCATTGCTTTATGATGCTCATCGTCCTCATTTTAGTATCATTGCAATATCTGCCGGAGATAGTACTACCCAGGTATCACAAGAAGTCCCAGAAAACTGTCAAGAATGGATAGGAGGAAAGATGGCCCAAAATGGATTAGATCATTACGTGTATAAAGTCGGGATAGCATTTAACACAGAAATATTTGGAACTTTTCGCCAAACCATAGTTTTCGACTTTGGATTGGAACCAGTACTCATGCAAAGAGTAATGATTGATGCAGCTTCTACAGAAGGTAATATTTAGACTTTTTTCCCTGATACGATGTATTAAAAGGCAAAAGTAAAAGATATGTATTGGCCCCTAAATATTCCCTGGATAGGGAGGGAATGATAAGAAAAAAATCCAAGTGGATTGGCTCATTTCTTGCATAATGGTTCTTCTTTAGAATGGTTCATACTGTTCCCTGCTCCTCATTCAAGTCACTGAGCAACCATTGCTTTGAAGTTCCCTAAACTTGTCTGAGTAGTTGATCAGGTCTATTTTGATGGTTTATAATTTTATTTTTAAGTAAGATAAGTTTTAGCACAGTAAAATCTTTTAATATGAGTGTGGGTAGAATATCATTTTAATGGCAGTCATGTAAACACCTGCAGTGTCGAGTTCCGTGTCCTGCTCACTGTCCAGGAAGCTTTGCTGGTGTTATATAGTCCATTATCTCTCAATGAAAAGTCCTCCTGTATAAACCCTCAGAAGTCAGCTTGCACATTCACTAGTGTTAGGAGACCAGAGTGCCTTCAATAGGATCTACTCTGTGTTTGGGGGGAGAGCCCCTTGGTTTTACTATGTAATACCGGCAGAAGATGGTGAATTACTTTGTATGTAGTCGTGTTATTGCTTAGCCTAAATTTTATGCTTAGATCTAATAGGACAGGGGAAGGGCACGTTAGTCCACACTTTTGTGACTTTTGGTTGGATTTATAGGTGCTTTGTTTTATTTAACACCAAATATTTATTAAGTATCTCTTCAAATAACATAGCTGTATGAAACTCACTATTGTATTGAGTGTAATTAACCATAATGTGGAGGATGGTTTTTCACTGTGTACCATAGTGCCCYACTCACGAGAACCCAGAGAGTGACCTCTTCATGAGCAAATACTAGGATTTTATTTTGGACACTGAAAAAGTAGAATTGGTCTGTCTTCCTCTCCTTTGGCTTCTAGATAAGGTTAAAGAAACATTTTTGGCTGAATTTTACCATTTGGTGTTATCTTCTCATGTGCTTGCTGAGATGACCTAGGTTTTGTTTTACCCATCTTCCCACTTATTTGATTCCTTTTACCTGTTTTTGTTCTGGTTATCTGTATTTCTGTCATATTTTCAATACTCTTGGGAATCAGCATAAACTATATTCATAGCCAAATAAATGATGGTAGTTTATCAAATAAAAATAGAAGCATAGATTTGGCAGATTATTTTTGCAAAGGATTAGACGTCATTTAGGTGTTACAGGGTAGATGATTTCTGTTGCAGCTACTGTGCTCTGCATTGTAGTGCAAAAGCAGTCATAGACAATACACAAACGGGGTGACTGTTCCAATAAGTTTAATTTTCACCAATAACAGTGGGCTAAATTTGGCTTGTATGCTGTAGTTTGCCTACCTCTCTACGAGAAAGTTGCTTTCAGAACCAGAACTTCAGGACTATAGGAAGCGCTCCTTTTAAATCCTGAGGAGACATAAATCATAAAAAGAGACCAACGGGCAACCCCTACTCGCAAATGTAACTATAAAGGGGTATTTTTTTAAAAATGTGTAGGTTGTATTTTGAAAGTTTGCTTTTATATTGGTGATTTCTAACTCACAACTTATTTTCCCATAAGAATAGGGTTTCAAGTGTTGTCAAGAATCCACACTAGTTAATATGTTGTTCATAACATAAAATGTTAAATGTCTGTAGTGAAAAGTAAAAGAAAATGATACTATTGAAACAGATGCCAGTGAGAAAAGTGGTGATGAGGAGGATTGCAGGGTCTTTCATGGGCTTAAGAATAGTACTTTGACTGTTTTGCCTCCTGTATGTGCTACTTTTCTTTCTTTCCTTTTTTTTTTTTTTTGGTACTGGGGATTGAACTCAGGGACACTTGGCCACCAAGCCACATCCCCAGCCCTATTTTGTATTTTATTTAGAGATATGGTCTCACTGAGTTGCTTAGTGTCTCTCTGTTGCTGACTGAGGCTGTCTTTGAACTTTTAGTCCTCCTGCCTCAGCCTCCTGAGCCGCTGGAATTACAGGTGGGCGCCACCACACCCGGCTAGATATGTTYACTTTTCTAATTGGAAAAGAAGAGCAGTGGACAAAGTTTAGAGTGAAGTAACAGTTGGATTTGAATGCTGATTTTCTACTCATTACCTGAATGGCCCTTGGGAGAGTACCCAACAGTTCTGAGCTTCATGCTGAAACATATAAAAGGGAGCCTGTGGTTTTTGCCTCATAGAGAATTGTGAGGACTAGAAATAAGCCTGGCACAGGATCTGACATTTAGTAAACAGTTCTTATTTTTACCACGAGCCATGATTAGGATAATTTCTGACTTGTACTCAGAATGAAGGAAGTAGAAAAAGAGAGAGGGAACTTTGTTTTTTAATTGGGGATTGGGTGTATGGGGCTAACAGAGGAACAGAAAAGCAGAGAGAAAGAGCAGAGCTGTTAAGACCAAGGCACCTGCGTATCTCCTGGGCTGGAGAGCACACTGTAGGGCTTGAAAGAGTTGCCCAGGACTAATATTTTGAGTCAGTTAACTGTAAGAAACAGTTTTCTTTCTGATATTCCTGATATATCAGTTTTTAAATATGATAAATTTTATGTTTTATTAAGATATAGTAGAGGGAGTGAATACAAGGATACTCTCTTTCCCTACTTTTTACAATATAGATGCTGTATCTACTTTTGGGTGACCTCTTTGTATGTAGTTTGATATCTTTGCCTATTAAGTAAGACTTTACTTTCAAGTAGTTATTTCAAGAAGTAATTGAAAAAAAATTAGGTATTTTCTTGAATTTTAGAAATATTGAAATAATTTCACAAAGTGAAATTTGGTTTTTAAGGACTGAGGAAAAAAGAATATTATAAGAGAATAATATAAAATGTACAAACAGAACTTTTGATATAAGATTTTTAACATTATAAAAGGAAAAACCTATATGTAGATTTAGATCAGATGACATTAGACTGCCTTTCTTGGGTTGTTAACTCATATTAGCTGATGTGTTGTGCTGATTTTAGTTGTGTAGTTGTGTCTTAGATAAAAGTCCCTACTCTTAAAAAGTTGATGCTATTGAATGTTACCATTTTTTGTTACGTTCCTGAAGTTTTAAATTGCATCACTACATTTGTTTCAGTGTAATTGTATATAGAGTTCTAACAGAATTTTGGAGAAACAAAGCAAGATATAAATATATAATATGTTTCTCCTGTTTTTTAATCTTAGTAGCTTAAGTCTGTATTTTTTATTAGCAGAGCAGAGTTCTTGTCAGCAAAAAATTTGAGGACAAATAATTGTTTATGTACATTTACAATTTTATTAACATTCTGAGACAATAAAAATATAACGTGGCAGTGCCACATTTTGTATCATTCCCTGGAATACTGTATGGATAGCATTCAYGGACATTGAGAACAAAATGACTGCTTTGTTAAATTGGTGACAGTGTGACAGCCTGGCTCATTTGACCTCTTGTTTCCACCAAGGCATTCTTGGATGTTTCTTGGTTTCCAGTTAGGAGAAAAAGTCTCCTTTCAGGTACAGTCAGCCAAATACAGTGGAAATTGAATTAGATCTGAGCTTTGTCATGTTTATACAATTTTGATTATAAGTTATAATGTAATTTGATTTCTGTATACAGAAAGAAATTTTGAGGGTGAAGGTATAAAACTGGAATTTGTATGGGAAATACTTTATCACGTTTTTCACTTGACTGTTCAATGTTCAAGCAAAGTTTTTAATTCTTAAACTAATGATGGCAACAAAGTTCTTTTCCATAAAATTATAAATTTGGACCATGCTGGGCCATCTGTTAACTCAGCGTTTCCTAGACTGTGTTCCATTGGAATGAATGATAACACCTATGGTGAAGAGTTCTGTGTACAAATAAGTGTGGAAATGCTGCATGCACTCCTTCCCTTTTGGACTCAACAGTGTGCCTCAGTGATTAAAGGCTCTCAGTGTTTGTCAAACTGATTTAGGTATATTAGTGTATTCCTCATTGAAACTTAAAATCAAGTTATATAGCAGACTGGAATGAATTTTCTAGTATTGAATTAAAAATCCTCCTTACTTTAGTTAATTCCAGTTTGAGTTTGTTTTTTATTTTTGTCATAATATACACCCATGCCTCCCCCCAAACAGTTGTGGGGATTGAACCCTGGGCCTCATGTTTGCAAGGCAAGTATCTGCCACTGGGCTATACCCCCAGCCTTGTTTTCATGATATCTAAAGCATCCAGACCTTTTGTAGACTATATTTGGATTTTTTTCCCCCTCTAGTCAACATATTGTAGAGAGGAAATACATATAACCTTAACCTTTTTTCCCCCAGGTTTTTTCCTTGTTGGTGAGATTCAGGTTCAGAAAAAAACACTATTAAAAATATTTTTTGGACTAAAATTGAATGTATACCTCTCAAAAATGTGTAGCAAAAGACATCCACAAGGAAAGCAAGTTAGTGAGTTTTCCCCTTACTTACAAAGTAAACTCAGTGTATACTTCCTACCACAGTTTGATTGATGGAAAACTTGTGCTTGAAAGTACTGATTTGGAATTGTGTTTTGAATATGTGGAAGCAACATGTTGAAAGTAACTCTCGTCTTTAAATCTGAAAACTTGATATAATACATTTTTCTACTATGAGTATAGCATGATATGTTAACATTAACACAAACTTCAGTKTGACTGAAATATTATTCCCAACTGCCAAAGTTGTTGGTAAATTAAGAACATATTTTTGTACCTGTCTCTATATAATATGATTAGAAAAACAGGAGAAAAATAGGTTTTAAAAAATAGTTTGTTAATAAAAGATAAACGGAACAGAGTGTAAGTGTGCACAGAGTATGAGGTACTTCTGCTGTTTTAACTTTTTGTTAGCCTCATTAAGAGAGCAAAAATAGGGCTGGGGAAGTAAACTTAGTGGTGGAGCCGTTGCCTGTATGTGTGAGGCCCTGGGTTTCATCCCCTGTAGCATTAAAGGAGAAAAAGAGATATTCCTCTTGATTCTAGGTAGCAGTTTGGGGAAAGGAAGGATATTGGAACACAGTGGAAGTGGCAGCTGGTGATTACTTGAATTTTATTCTATTGTAAAGTTGAGCAGTCAAGGTTTGTCAGATTACAGACCAAAATACTTTCTAAGCAAGAGTCTTATTTTCTGATTTTGGAATTAGGAAGCATTTAATTTTATCTACAAGTCCTAGATAAATGCAGCTGTTTTTAATAAATTTCATATTTAAAACYCACTCATCACATGCCTCTTGTGTGTTTGCTCTTGTGATGGCTACTTAGAACACTGGATTTTTTCCGCCTAACTGTCTTCCTACCCACCCTCCAAGCCCTGTTAAAGTTACATTTTAAGTTGGCTGCATTACATACTTCAAAACAAAGTAAACCTTGGATGCTATCTTGGAATAGCAACTTTGTGGCTGAAAGGAGAGCCAGCTGCTATTCTCAGTATCAGAAGAGYTAGGGAAGTTGGGAAGTGTCAGACTAGATATTCCAATCTTGAATTCTGTTTTTGATAGTGGAAGCCCTTCCCTTAAGGTATCTTCAAAACTTTAGATATATTATAATTATCTTTGTAAGTTTTCCTTATGGATTTCTCTTAAAATATATTTATAGTTTCTGCTTACTGTGTCTYGGGGGAAGAAATTCTTTAGGTTGTAATTTCTGTGAGATTTGGGATTTATTGTAATAGGAATTGGTTAATAAGTCAGTGTTAAACTCTCCCTGTATGGTTTTATGAATTTGGATCCTAACTTTTTCACTTTCATCTTTCCAGAGTGTTTTCCATTTCAGCCTAATGTAGATTGAAGAAAAGTGCGCACCCGTGAGGAGCTGGCTCAGGCCAGGTTTCTTCTAGTGGGTGCACGTGTGCTGCAGGAGGGGATGACAGTGAGCTCAGTAGTGGCCCTGTCCCATGCCCATGGCTCCCTCCCTCTCTTCACAGAGGCAGTCTTAGCACCTACTGACCATTAAGCACTATTATGTTAGGTCATTAAATGAGTACAAATCCAGATATCCTTTTATGATGATAATGAGCATCTGACATTTAGTGATGGTATCATCTGTTTATTGTTGGCATTTGTATAATTTCTTTTTGTAGTTATGCTCTAACGAGTGAATGTAGTGTTCAGTTTTAGGAAGATGATAGGATTTAGGAAGAAGACTAACTTTAGGAAACTTGCTATGAGGCTACTATAAGAACAGAGTACCCGGCTGGGGATGTGGCTCAAGCGGTAGCGCGCTCGCCTGGCATGCGTGCGGCCCGGGTTCGATCCTCAGCACCACATACCAACAAAGATGTTGTGTCCGCCGAGAACTAAAAAATAAATATTAAAAATTCTCAAAATTCTCTCTCTCTCTCTCTCTCTCTCTCTCTCTCTCTCTCTCTCTCTCTCTCTCTCTCACAAAAAAAGAACAGAGTATCAATCCATTTTATTTTTTTAAAAATATTATTACTAGTTGTTGATGGACCTTTATTTATTTATTTATATGTGGTGCTGAGGATTGAACCCAGCACCTCACACATGCTAGGCAAGTGCTCTGCCACTGAGCCATCACCCCAGCATTGCCATTTTAAAATGCAAATTTTTAATGAGCAGATAATCTTTACCTCTTGATGATGATTGTTATGTTTATGTTGACATTTAAGAAATTATGAAGCGGTCATGTAAAAATGACTTTTAAGGGAACAAAGGTTAGGGATTTGCTATTTGCTACAATTTAGAAATTTCTCTTAGTGGAGGACTATACTTAACATGTTTTTTTTTTTTTTAAATATTTATTTATTTAGTTATTGGCGGACACAAAGTCTTTGTTGGTATGTGGTGCTGAGGATCGAACCCGGGCAGCACGCATGCCAGGCGAGCGCGCTACCGCTAGAGCCACCTCCCCAGCCCCCACTTAACATGTTTTTAATGTATATGTAATATTTAAAATTTGCACACTCACTCATTGAGCAAGACATGCCAATTTTTGCATATGTTCTCATTTAATAAATCATTTAGGATAACTTATCTTTGTGCTTTGGAGACTCATAGATCTTTTGTCAGAACTTTTTATTTCTTAAATTTTAATTTGAACTGTGAAACCTTGTTTTCCCATTTTGTTTTACTAAAACTGGATTTTGGCCTAGTTAGTCAGTGGAATAGTTTTTTCCTTTTGGTTAAGTTTCGTTTTTATAGGTGTACTTACTTTTCACCCAGTAATAGAAATCTGTGCACACTGCAAACTGAGCATGGGGTCGGCACACTCTGAGTTTCTTATGATGTGCTGGTTGTATCCACATTTCTTTAAGAGATGTCAGAAGATTGAACAGTTATTCATTTTGATTCTGTGCTACACTTACCAATAATTTGACTGAGGCTAAACTGGATTTTTCAGAAATGGCATTTGAATGGCATTGTATCACATTGTGATGAGGAATCAGTAGTATTATACATGTGTCTCTTCTAAAAGATTTTTATTTGTAGTAAGTTGATTTTCAGATAGTGTCTGCTTTTCCACATAAAAAAATATTTAACTTTTCAGCTTTTTCATCTCTCTTTCTATAATAGGGCAGATATTGATAGGAGGAGGAAAGTGATTATACCTAATAAAATTATCTTATGAGGAATTTATCATCTTTTTCCTGCAGATCAGATTTCTCTTGACTGAAAAGTTCTAAGTGTTAATCGACATTTTAAAAATGTTAACAACTGTTTGTGGTATGTCCTAATCTTATGTTTTTTTTAAAAGATCTTCTTTTCATAGATTCCTATTAATATTATTTTGTTAAAATAGACAAAAGAAATGTCTGAACTAGGGAAAGTACTCTCAGGGTTTTTGTATTCTTTTATTTTTAAGAATTTTAGCTGTAGTCTATTAAATTCTCTTACCCAAATGTGTATTATTTGTGAATTTTAATGTTGTGTTCCTTTATAAATGTGTTTTTTGTTTCCATTTAGATCTTGAATATCTGATGCATGCAAAACAACAGCTAGTAACCACTGCTAAGCGTTGGGATTCTTCTTCTAAGACTATTATAGATTTTGAACCTAATGAAACTACTGATTTGGAGAAGAGCCTTCTTATCAGATACCAAATTCCTCTGTCTGCTGACCAGCTGTTTACCCAGTCGGTTTTAGACAAATCATTGACCAAGACCAACTATCAGTCGCGGTTGCATGACCTTCTTTATATTGAGGAGATAGCCCAGTATAAAGAAGTCAGCAAGTAAGTTACTTCAGAAGCATGTTCTTTCCTTTTTTTTCTTTTAATCTCCCCTTTGGGTGGTATTTTAATTTTTAAAATGGAGGGGTGCCAAAGTGAAGACAAGAAGTAGGTAGTGGTTCTTCATTAGCTGCATCTATCTAGATAGCATTGCTGCTTTCTGTCCATCTTCAATAGCTGTGATGTGTGTGTGTCAGGGCAGGAACCCTGTTAAAGATGTCGTCCATCTCTACAAGGCCTTACTGAGCATCCCTCTCCGAGGGGGCAGCTCTTTCCCATGTGCTGCACTAAATCTGTAATCCCTATTCTTAAGAGCTTTCAGAGAATGTAGTCATAGCGAGCACTCAATGAGAAATGTTCAAAAACRGAAGGAAACCACATATTTTTAAAGTTATTAAGAATAAAATGATTTAGGTCTTCTGAAAAATGGATGATAAAACAGCTTTACTCAGTTTATGAATACTTTCAACATCCTTGATATTCTACCCACGTGCCACAGGTTAAGACTAAGTACTTAAATCAAAAGCTTTTTTGATTATTTTAGGAAAAATCATCTTTTATAAGTGTTTTTCCTTTTGAGTATAACCTAGCCAACATAGTTTTCTTTGTCAAGCTGTCTTATCACTGTGTTATGATTAATATTATTAATAGATTCTAAACACTTACTGTTATGATTTGGATATGAGGTGTCCCCCCAAAGCACCAGTAATGCAGTACTATTCAGAGATGAAATGATCAGATTAGGGGAGCTGTTACCTAAGCAATCCATCCTAGTTTGGAAGTGACTATAAGCAGGTAGGTGTGGCTGGAGGAGATGCTTCACTGGGGGTATGAATTTAAAAAAAAATCTCATTTGCATGCAGTCTCTTGGTCCATTCAGAGTAGGGTGGACTACTAAGGTCACATTCTTAAAAATTAATCATTTTACCTCTAAATCTTCTTGCAGTAACCGGAACTTTTGCAGGACACCTCATATCTAAACCACAACACTTACTAATTACTAAGTACATATGCAAGAAAAGAAGAAGTGAAAACTTTTTACTTTATAGGTTAAGCATGATCTAACTTGCAAAAGTATCTAGCTCGGGATTAAGTACATGTACAAAGTCAGTCTAATTTATTTTTATGAAATGTTATTCTATCATGTTTCACTTATAAGCTCTTAAACGGCTTTTATTGATTCTACTTATAGACTGTTCTAATGAAATCATTAGTAAAAAAAAAACGGGCGGGCAATGGCTTATATTTTGTTCATTATTTACATTATTTATATGCCTACATTTTGTTTACATTATCATAGAGTCCTTCCCTTAGGAAAGAATATTATGATAAATCACAAATAATGGGAAGAAATAAATGTTAGAAGCTTACAATCTTTGAGACTATTTTTGAGTATTGTACTAGAAATTCAGAAAAATTTATAAATTAATTTAAGTACTATTTAATATTTTATTCAAGATTGTACATAATTTTATTACTTTAGAACTTATAGCTGAAGACTAGAATATTATGTTAAAAAATCATCTTTTCAAAGTGGAAATTTGTCTGAGTGGAAAAAAGAAACCCTTTAAACTCTGAAGGTCAGATACTGATCAAGAAGCTCAGTGGTTGCAAGTTCACACTAGAGCACCCTGTGAGGGCTTCTAAAGCCATGACAAGACGGTCCTGAAAATGACAGCAATATGAAAGGAACACCGATCATTAACTAAGTTGCCATGATAATTTTGGAAGCCTTTTTGACAGTTTGTGGATTTTTAAAAAAGTTTTACCCTTTTGCTATAGTAATTCTACTTATGGGGAATCATCTTGAAGCAGATATAAACATGTTTCAAAGAGTAGTGAAAAATAAGTTAAATCAATTAGGGTTTAGCCATATGATTGAATATTATGTTCTTATGAAATTTTTAATGTAGAAAAGATATTCATGATACAACATTAAGGAARAAAATATGGTAGTTATAATCCTTTACCTGCTGCCATTCTAATTTTTTGTGTATACATAGTTATATGCACATACATACATCTATATATATTTATAAAAATACTGGAAAGAGTTAAGACAGTATTCTGGTTGGTAGAATTAAAGGTGACTTTTATGCTTCAAGTTTTCTCTACTTTTGAAATGTTCTTCAGAGATCACATATTAATCTTACAATAAGAAAAAGTGAATATAGAAATGTAAAGGAAACTGCACCTCATCTACTGCAATAGTTGATTCATGTCTTCTTTGTTTTGTTCTGTGGTAAAATCCACTCCTAATTAAGGTGTAAAAATGTCCTTAGGTATGACAAGAAGAGATTGTGGTAAGATAGAACATAGACATTGTGGTAGGACAGTGTAATRTAGTATATATATATATTTTTTTGTACTGGGGATTGAACTCAGGGGCTCTGGACCACTGAGCCATATCTTCAGCCCTATTTTGTATTTTATTTAGAAACAGGGTCTCACTGAATTGCTTAGCGCCTTGTTTTTGTTGGGGCTGGCTTTGAACCCATGATCCTCCTGCCTCAGCCTCCAGAGCCACTGGGATGACAAGTGGGCATCACTGCACCCGGCAGTATATAGCCTTTTTATAGGAACATTTGAGCTTTATTTTTTAATCTTTAAGTTTAGATCATAGTTATTGACTCCAATAGGGATATTTGTAAATTGAATATAAGCAGTTGCATCACTTTTAATGTCCTATATATGCTAAATGTGAAAGAGTTTAGAAGTATCTAGAAATGAGAATTCACTCCTCCAAGACTAACATGTGACAAGTAGATAGTCTTGTGCCAGAGAATTCTGGAAAATTTCCAGTGATAATTGTCACTCAAAGGTAGCTCTGGACATGGAGGTTAGTAAATTACCCTTTTGAATTTGGCAAGCTTATAAAATTAGTGAAGTACAGTAAARAATTGGCATACATACAAACAAGCAAATGCTTTTTACTAATTAGAGTTCTTAGAGGGTATGGGGAGCCTGTAGACAAGGTACAAACAATAGATTGTACAGATTTTCAAAAGTCTTCGACAGAGTTTCATATGTTGCTTATATTTTGTTTTCTCTAATCATTTTAAGATGGTGTTTATATGCATTTTAATGTTGCCTTAAATTCAATTCACGTTTGATTGTTAATTCTTTTTATATTTTTATTTTTTGTGGTGCTGAGGATTGATCCTAGGATGTTACACTCTACCTGTGGCTACATCCCAGCCCTTTTTCTTTTTCTTTTTTGTACCAGGAATTGAACTCAGGGGCACTCAGCCACTGAGTCACATCCCCAGCCCTATTTTGTAGTTTATTTAGAGATGGGGTCTCACTGAGTTGTTTTTGCTGAGGCTGCCTTTGAACTCATGATCCTCCTGCCTTAGCCTCCCAAGACACTGGGATTACAGGTATGCACTACCCTGCCTGTCCCTAACCCTTTTTATTTTTTATTTTGAGACAGGGCCTCACTAAGTTGCTCAGGCCGGCACTGAATCTGTGTTTCTCCTTTCTCAGCTTCCTGAGTAGCTAGGATTATACTGTGCCCAGCTTGATTGTTAATTCCTTAGGCACAAATAATATAATCAAGATATATTTTTAAAAATAAATTTGGCGATGTCTATAAGCAGCTGTTGAACTCTGATGTAGTACAGGGCTCAAACTTTTGTGGCAAAGGGCCAAATTATAACTATATCAGGCTTTGGGAACCCCCCCCCCCCATATAGTCTACATTATATGTCTTTTTTGTAAAATACATTCTTAATCAAAGGTTGTATGAAAACAAACTGGATTATTGAATTTGGTTCTAGGACCATACTCCATTGTRTCTTGATTATTTTGCTGGTCCAGTTGATGACTAAAATCAACTGGACCAGCAAAATAATATTAGAATTGTTCTGTTGTGGTTTGAGATCCAGTTTAAAGATAGAAAACAATGGAATGGTTAAATAGATTAATCTCTTGAAATGCTTGGATGTGTTTTGACAGTAATAAGTGTATTCTGTATGCACTGAAATATGCTTCTTAGTGACATTGTAGTCAGACCAACCACATGATTGATAGGATATTTCCTAAGGTCCCACAGAGTGTATCACTCATTTGTGAAAGAACTTTGACAGTTTAAGGTATTTTGGAATGTTACTAATTATGCAAGTAGTATCAAGGGAATTCATATTTTAAAAAAATTTTTATTGATAAGAATGGGTCTCTATTTTTTTTTTAAAGAGGTGATATTTTAAAGCAGCCTAGAAATTATGATTATATTGTTTTAGTGAGAGATGTGTGTAGGTGGTAAGGATACTGCATTTCACTTAAATTTTAGAGAAAGCTTCAGAGTTCTTTTGAGATTTGTTTTTGTTTTACCTGTCCTCAGCCTCCTGTTGATGTTCATTCTGTAATCCTACYTAGAAGTCAAATCTATCTGATTTTAAGAGAGATATTTTCAAAAGAATTGACTTTAGCTGAAGCTGTTGTGTCAGTTAAACTGTGCAGCAGCCTGCCCGACTAGGCCGTTGTGTCTGCTTCTCAGTGCCCCAGCTGGCATGATGGCCTCATGTGGGATGCATGTTTCATCATGAGGATGGTGTGGCTTCTGTTAGTTATCCCTCTGTCTGTTGCTCTGCCTCAGTAAACCCAGGGGTTATCTTTCCACTTAGGTTTACTTTTTTTTTAAAGATTTTCTTCTCTTTTTCCCATTTATTTATCCATCCATCTATTTATTTTTGTGATGCTGGAGATTGAACCCAGGGCCTTGTGCATGGGGGAGGTAAGCACTCTACCAACTGAGTTATATCCCCAAACCCTCCACTTAGTTTTACTTTTGTTAGTCAGAAATTGCATGAGATGAAATTTACTATATAGCTTTGATTTTTTTTTTAAGCAATTAAAAATATCACTTAAGAGGTATAGTGGTTGCCAGAATCATGTTTTTTACTAGCTACAAGTATGGTTTTAAATTTGTTGAAAATTCTGTTGGCTGTTTATTCTACTTCATCTAAAGGTTAGTTTTTATGTAAACTTTAAGGTAGATTTCAAAATGTGGCATGCAACAAAGAAAAGATGGTTTTTCTTTATAATAAATATCTTTGTTAATTATAAGCTATATTTTATAAGTATATCTGAGTTACTAAATTTTAAAAATTATATTTTAATTCCCAAGAGAAATTACTGATTGAAATTTAGGTTTAATCTGTTCATCTTTTAGAAAAATTAAATATTAGCATCTATAACTAGTAGTATAAAGTCTGTAATATCTTCATCTTGAATAAGTGACAAATTTTCTGCAGCAGAAGCTGTTTTTCTTAGGATATTTATTTTTTATTGCCTTTACCTCAAGAGTTTTGCTGCAGCACACAACTAAATATTCACAAGAGGATTTTTTTGTTGCTCCCAAACTGAAAAATTAATTTCTCATGCCTGCTAAATTGTGATCAAGTGTTTTGTGATGGTAGATTCTAAAATAGATATGGCAATGAAATTTTTTAATATATTACGATCATTGAGAAATATATTTCAAGAATTTGTTAGGGAATACTGTGAAGTGTTTGAAATGAGAATATGGTGCATGGCAGAAATTTAGATTCTAACAGAAATGTATTGTTAATTCAGGGAACAGAATTTTTTGAGTATTCAAASTGTTCGGTTCTAGGCTAGTTACTAGAAGGCAAGCAGGATATGCTTCCTTGTATCCTACAAGTTATAATTTGGTACAGAGACAGACCATAAATGTAGCAGCATTCTGGTGGAGGAATCCAGAGCACCCACAGGAGAGGCATCTGTCCCATATTAGAAGGGAGAGGAGCTGAGTCTACTCAAGAAGGGAATCATATCTGCTTTTGGGAGCAGCCTCAAATCTGCTTTTGGGTGCAGCCTCAAGTCTGCTTTTGGGAGCAGATGGAATTTAAACTGAATTGTAAAATAAAACAAAACAAAACAAAACACTGAATCGCATTTATATGCTATATAAATATATAAATATAAATCACATTTATATGGGTATAGATTTGTTAGGTTCAGAAGTAAGTCAAAAGAATTGAGTTAAAAGAAACAGGATATAAGAATAAGAGTATAGAATTTTAGGGGAACCTGCAAGTTGATCATTTATAGTTGCAGTGGAGGGCATATGGGTGGGGCCTGGTAGATGAGAGAGAGAATTTTTTTTACTTTATCCTCAGACCTGTACAAAGACCTTTAATTGTGGTGTAAAGAATATATTTGAAAAAAGAAGTTATACTGTAAATTTGTTATAATAATCCAAGTTAAAAATGTTGAGATGCAGATGAATTGGAGGAGAAGGAACGAGGACCATTCAGAACTACCACAGGTTCATGTCAGGCAAGGTTAAGAATGACTTGAGGGGCTGAGGATGTGTCTCAAGCCCTAGCGCGCTCCCCTGGCTTGTGCGGGGCGCTGGGTTCCTCAGTACCACATAAAAAAAAAATTAAATAAAAAATAAATAAAGATGTTGTGTCCACCAAAAACTAAAAAATAAATATTAAAAAATTCTCTCTCTCTCTTTAAAAAAAAAAAAAAAAAGAATGATTTGATTTCTGGCTTGGACACCTGGGTGCAAGTTAATGCCGTTCCCTAAGTTGTTTAATACATGGGAGGATTGGTTTGGGGGACACCTTAAAGAGGTCACATGGTGATTCCAGTTTGCGTTTATGGGTTTTGAGAGTGTGTGAGCCTCGTGCTGTAGATCTGGGAGAGGTCAACCTTACCTAGGAGAATGTAGAGCACAAGTAAGAAGACAGTGGGTAGAGCTTTGATAAGGTGGCTGATCTTGGATGGAAGATGGAGGAGTAAGTAGAGAGGTAGTGAGAAAACTAGGAGAGTATGTCTTAACTGAAGTCAGGGGAAGAGGAAGTTTAAAGAGAGGACAGTGGTTACAAAATGAAGGGGATAAAAATGTTCTGAGAGCAACAAAGAGGTCCTTTGTGAGTCAAGAATGCACTAGAAGTAATCTCTTGCCTGTGGGGGAAGTCTTAATGACCCTGGACCTTTCTTAAGTTATTTGGATGGTAAAAGGCAAATAAAATTTTAGCCTCATTTAAGAAAGCATGTGTAACATAAAGGTTTTTGTTCTTTAAAACAGCATATTTTATAAAAAAAAAAAGCAGGTTAACAGAGATTATATGTAAATGGAGAAGTGTTTCATTTCATTTTAAGGCTTATTGTTATTTGGATACTAGGTACTAATTCCAGTCTTTAAAGAGTCACACATAACTAGATAATATACAATCTGCATTTCTTCAAATTACCACCTTAACCTGTCTAGCTTGGGAATGAGGGAAATTTAACATGATTTTTAGAGATTACATATATTTCATATATATTCAGCTATAGTTTATTTGATCTTCATATAAATCCATGTTATTTAATATGAGTTTCAGTGTATATATATCTCTTTTTGAAGCCTTAAATGTTCTGTTGTAAAATGTGTTTTAAGATTATTAATGGAGGGCTAGGATATAGCTCAGTTGGTAGAGTGCTTGCCTTGCATGCACAAGGCGCTGGACTCAATCCCCAGCCCCACAAAAATAAATAAATAAATAAACGAACGAATGAATAAATAATAAATAAATAAATAAGATTACTAATGGAGCCTGTGAACTTTTATGACATTAAAAACATAAATAACTGTTCAGATCTGTTATTTTCATTAAATATTTTCTAAATTCTATAAGAACATCTCTAAGCAAATATAATTTGTAGCTTTATAATATATAAATGGATAGTCATAATTTTGGTGTGTGTGTGTGTGTATGTGTGTGTGTGTACTGGGGATTGAACTCAGGGCACTCAACTACTGAGCCACATCCCCAGCCCTATTTTGTATTTTAGAGACAGGGTTTCACTGAGTTGCTTAGCACCTCATTTTTGCTGAGGCTGGCTTTGAACTCATGATCCTCCTGCCTTAGCCTCCTGAGCTGCTGGGATTACACGCATGTGCCACCACGCCTGGCCATAATTTTAATATAATGTTTTAATTATGGTATTTGATTTAAACACACACACACACACACACACACACACACACACGGGATTGAACTCTGAGGTGCTTAACCACTGAGCCACATCCCCAACCCTTTTTATAGTTAGAGAGAGGGTTTTGCTGAGTTGCTGAGTGCCTCAATAATTTGCTGAAGGGGCTGGGGATGTGGCTCAAGCGGTAGCGCGCTCGCCTGGCATGCGCAGGGTACTGGGTTCGATCCTCAGCACCACATAAAAATAAAAAAATAAAGATATTGTGTCCACCGAAAACTGAAAAATAACTATTAAAAAAATTCTCTCTCTCTCTCTCTCTTTTCCTCTCTTTAAAAAAAATAAAAAATTTGCTGAAGCTGACTTTGAATTCATGATCCTCCTGCTTCAGACTCCCAAACTGCTGGGATTACAGGTGTATGCTACTGAGCCCGGCTAATGTACATATTTCTAGTGAAGAAACTTATTTATTTATTTATTATTCATAGTTGGACTTATTCATTCATTCATTCATTCATTCATTCATTCATATGTGGTGCTAAGGATCGAACCCAGGGCCCCACACATGCTAGGCAAGCGCTCTACCGCTGAGCCACAGCCATAGCCCAAGAAATTTATGTTTTTTAAAATAGTTTTTTTCCCTTAGGGATTTATAAGGTTTTTTTTTCATATATACATAATTTTTTAAAGATGTTGACATTTTTTTAAAGCTGTTATTCATTTATTTATATGTGGTGCTGAGAGTCGAACACAGTGTCTCACACATGCTAGGCAAGTGCTCTATCACTGAGCCACAACTCCAGCCCTTATAAGGTATTCTTGATGTCATATATACAAAGGAAGATCTGAAAAAAAAAAAAATTTAGCAGTACTATTACAAAGTAGCCTTTTCCTTAACTGGATATGTAGATTTCAAACAATATGATTTCTTTTTCATTCAAATGTTTTAAATCTTCTAAGAAAGACTAGAAAATATTTCCCTTGCTTCTTATCACATTGTCAGTACTTTTTCAGAATGGCAAAGAATTGCCAACCAACTTTAAACTTTCTCTTCACATTTCTTAACTATGTAGATTAATTGTGGTTGTTTGTGCTGCTTTCATACTTAATTCTCTGTGTGCTTATGAACACATGGAAGTGTGAGTRGGTACTACAACTATTTTCTAGTAAGATGGATTTTAACTTCTTTTGACATAATTTCTGCATGAGATTTGCTTTCTTTTTTTTTTTTTTTTTTTGGGCAGTGCTGAGGATTGAACCAGGGCCGTGTGCATGCAAGGCAACACTGCCAACTGAGCTATATCCCCGAGATTTGCCTTCTTGTAACCATGAATAAAAATTTATTATGCTTGTTTTTCATTAATGTTATTGAAAGATAAATTTTATGGTTAGAATCTTTTGGTCTAATTTGCTTGGAAAGCAATCAGTTAAAGTTCATTGTAGTTTTTTGATGCAGTGACTGTCCCGGTCCCAGGTGATTTTAATGTCTTTATTATCCCAGTGGTGTGTTTAAGCTGACTTTCATATTAGTTAATACATAGTAGTTCATTTTATTTAAAAATCATCTTTAGTTTCATTTTTCAATACTCAGACTTTTCTGAATGTGGGTATTCTTTAACCAACCAGGTATGCATCTTTATATAACTTGCATGGAAGTTTATTCACTTTAAAAAAGTTTTGGGGGCTGGGGTGGTGGCGCAGAGGTAGAGCGCTTCCTAGCATGTGTAAGGCACTGGGTTTGATTCTCAGCACCTCATAATAAAGATCCATTGACAACTAAATATACACACACACATATATGTTTAAAAAAATTAAAAAGTTTTGGTGTCTCCAACTTGAATTAGAGGCAGAAAGATAGTATGTAAGTTAAAACTTACATAAAAAAATAGAGTGAAATCGATAGGAATTTTTTAATTTTTAGTACGTTTGATTTATTTTTCTTGTACTCTTTTGGTTTTTGATGGTTTTGATGTAAAATATTCACACCAGTTTTCTACTTCTAATTTAGGTTCAACCTTAAAGTGCAATTGCAGATTCTAGCAAGCTTCATGCTCACTGGAGTTTCTGGAGGTGCAAAGTATGCTCAGAACGGACAACTTTTTGGGCGTTTTAAGCTTACTGAAACACTTTCTGAAGATACTTTGGCTGGACGACTGGTGATGACCAAAGTCAATGCTGTTTATTTATTACCAGTCCCTAAAGAGAAGTTAGCACAGACCCAGGGAACCAAAGAGAAGGTTTRTGAAGCTACTATTGAAGAAAAAACAAAAGAATATATATTTTTAAGGATATCCAGGGAATGCTGTGAAGAACTTAACCTTCGGCCTGACTGTGACACACAGGTATGAACACATGTTTGAAAGTGACACAGTATCTACACATGTCTGAAGACCCATTGCCAGTTGATAGCCTTCTTTTGGTTTGGTTCGTTCTTCCACAATAACTAGAAATATGATTAGCTTATTTTGGTGAATTGAGAATTGGACCTCTTGTAACTCCCAGTGAAAATTAGTTTTTTTTAAAAATTTAAGTAACATGTAATATGTTCTACTTTTAAATAAGGTGAGCTTTCTAATTATTTTTATTTTATTTTTATTATTTTTTTTTAAAGAAATATTTATTCTTAAGTTTTAGGTGGACACAGTATCTTTATTTTTACATTTTATGTGGTGCTGAGGATTTAACCTAGTGCCTCACACATGCTAGGTGAGTGTTCTACCACTGAACCACCCCAGCCTCTCTGATTAGTTTTAAATCAGCAAAGAAGAAAAATGAAAAACTAAGCTCCATGCTCGGATATCTCTCATTTGCTGTTGTATATGTTCCTGTTCTCTTTATCTTTGTGGGTTTTTAGGTGAATTGTGTGTTCAGGCTGCCATGTTTAACTGGAAGGCTAGCCTTTTCTTTCCTTTTTGAATGTAAAACTTGGTGAATATTATAGTGAATTGGAACAGTGTAATAGGGCTGATTGTCAATCATTTTTCCCTATTGTTTTACTGATTTTATCAAATGCATTCTTTGTAAGAAGGTGGTATCAAATTTTGTCTAGAGATTRAATGAGTTACAAGTGCTTAAGTGTCTTAATATGTAAAATGATGTTAGTAACARTATATACCATTAATACTGTTAAGTGAGACACTCTACGTAAAGTACTTATTACAGTGCCTAATACTAACTAAACAAAGCAAATATTAACCATAATAATTGCTATTAGAACATGATCACACTTAAAAAAAAAAACACAAAACTCTGAACTACTGTTCCCCCAWATTGTTGTCTCCACAAAGTCATCTAGTGAGCTGCTAGCACTGATCATTGATGTTTGTAACATTATGCTAGGTGACATAAAACCAGATTCAGAAAGTCAGGAGTCCAGTGTTTTCTTTCACATGTGGAAGCCATGGGTGGTGGTGGGGAGGATCTCATGGCAATAGAAGGGAGACTAATAGAGTAGAGGAAGGATATCAAGAAGGAGGGAGGGGACTGAGCTGCTTGCCTGGCATGTGTGAGGCACTGGGTTCGATCCTCTGCACCACATTTAAAAAAAAAAAAAAAAAAGGCATTCTGTCTCTCTACAACTATAACTACAAAATTTTTTTTAAAGTTAAAGAAAAAAAAGTAGGAGGGGAGGGTATGGGGAAGTACTGGGGAACAGAATATACCTAATTATGCTATGTCCATATACAAATAAACCACARTGAATTATATATATATGTATGTATGTATATACACATGTGATAATATATTTGTATATAATTATAATGTGTGCATTAAAAAATAATAATTATAGAAGAGAGCACTAGAGCAAGCTGATTGGGGGAGGGAGGTGGCAAGGGAAAGGGAAGATACTGGAGAATGAGGTTGATTGAATTGTTTTGTAAGTGTGTGAATATGGTATAATGAATCCCACTATTATATATAATTATAGTGTACGAATAAAAAATAATTTAAAAAATTCATTTGATCTTTCAGGTTGAACTCCAGTTCCAGTTGAATCGATTACCCCTCTGTGAAATGCACTATGCACTAGACAGGATCAAGGACAATGGCGTCTTGTTTCCAGACATCAGCATGACTCCCACCATACCGTGGAGTCCCAACAGGTACAGGAAGAAAGTGCCTTAGTAGAGGATGTATATCAATATTAAATGGACTATCTGTAATAAGTAACTCCAGCATACTTTTTTTTTCCAAATATTTTRTTAGTTGTTGATGGATCTTTATTTATTTATATGTGGTGCTGAGAATTGAACCCATTGCTTCACATGACAGGCCAGAGCTCTACCACTGAGCCACAACCCCAGCCCTTCCAGCATACTTTTATAGGAAAGATTGCCTATGTTCCTCAGGAGGCATTTTAGTGGTAAAGAAAGGAGAGTGAGCTCATGGTAGAGCGCTTGCCTAGTGTGCTTGAGGCCCTGGGTTCCACCCCCAGCACTGCAAAACAAAACAAAACAACCAAACCAAACCAAACAACCAAAAAAAACAAAACAGTAAAAGAAACTTCAGAATGAAACATTTGAGTTTCATCATTGATTTTCTTGGCCAAGACTCCTCACAGTCGAAATGAGTTCTGTTGCTTTTCTTTTTTTTTTCTTAAATTTTTTTTTAATTGTAGTTGGACACAATACCTTTATTTTATTTATTTATTTTTATGTGGTGCTGAGGATTGAACCCTGTGCCTCACACGTGCTAGGCGAGCACTCTACCGCTGAGCCACAACCCCAGCCCTTCTATTGCTTTTCTTAACAGCCTTAGTTTGATAGGATGCCGAGCAGTTTAGGGATATTTTTGAGTAAAAGGTTAATTGGAAAATTGAGGCCTTTCTGAATTAAGTAATTAATTTTAAATTATTTTTGAAAGTGGACAATATTGTGATTTCAGCAACGTGGAGTAAGCATGACAGAAGATACTTTAGAAATGGCTCYCAAGTTATTGGTTGTGTAAATAGTATTCTGCTTAAATTCTCTTTGAGACTTCTTTACATGCAATTAAATAAGACACTTCTGTTTTGTTTCAACAGTAGATAGCAGTGATAGTTGTGTGACTGAATCGTTGTTTTTAGTTTCTCTGCCAGGTTTTGTCTCATGGGTCTCTGCCTTGCTCATACTAACTCCTCCCTCCCTCCCTCCCTCCCCCCCCCCTCTAAGTTTACTGGCTTGGCACAGTGGACATTTATTTATCACTCTAAACATGGTAGAGTGGCCCTGTTCCATACCGATGGAGGCCCTGGCATGTTCAATAATTAGTTTCCAAGGTCACTGTGTGTGTTGACAGGAGAGAMTGAGCACAGAGGACCACATGGGTCATTTTTATGTGCTAGGCCTAGAAGCAGCACACATCAATCCTCCTCAACATTCCATTTTCTTCTGGTCCTAAAACAAAACAAAATACGACATTCCTTACGACACAGAACCTGAGCCGTTTCTGCTGTGTTTTTGCTTGCCTTTGCTGTCCTATCTCCTTTCTTCTTTTTCCTGCCAAAATTTTTGAGATGGAATGTTTGGCATGTTTCTAGTACTCTCGGTTTGCTGTTGTATCTCCTTCCCACTTGCTCATACTCCTGAGGGTACTCCGTGATCTCATTGTAAAACTCCAGCGATGTCTCAGCTCTCATTTGGTTCACCTTCTCTGCATCTGTCCCTTTCTTTCCATTCTCAGAACCAGTGCTTAATTCATGCCTGTACCGATTCAGCAGCATGCTAGTTGGTCTTCTGTCCTGCTGGTTGTAACCCTGTTGTCTGGTCCAACTCTCACATTTCTTTCAAAGTTAGTTTTCTAAAACAACCATTATGTCAAATCTCTGAAGGCTTCTCCTTGACATGTTGATAAAGTCTTAGAGCCTAATTGGAAGCTTATTATTAGCTCTTTGTTGCAAAGCATGTTGATTGTGCTTACCAACAATGTCTTTTCAGGAGTTTACTCAGCTGTTTTCTGCTTGACGTCCCCTTCCTCCAAATCCCCAGTACTCTAGCCATATAGAATTCTCTTGAAGTTTATTTTTTAAAAATTTAAAAATTTTTAATGGGTGCCATTTTAACCATTTTAAGTGTATAGTTCTGCAGTGTTAAATATGTTCATATTGTTATACAATCTCTACATCTTTTTCATCTTATAAAACTGAAACTAAGAATCCATTGAAGAACTCCCCCCCCATCCCCCACCAGCCCTGACTCTTTATCTTTATGGGAGTTCCTCACTGGGACATCTGGGCTGACATCTTTGCCCATTGTCAGCCTGTTGAGAATCTTCCYATCCTGTAAGGCTTCTTCCAGCCCCTTCCATTTCATTGTTTCAGTAACTACTGAGCCCCTGCTATTTAGAAGGCTCAGTCAGTTTTGTGCTTTCAAGCATAATTTGTCCAGTTACTTTTTGTCAGTTGTGTACATTTTATTGTTCTCACTAGACTCTGAGCTTTGTATACTAAGATACCATGTCTTCTTTATTTTGAACACYAACAAGGTCTTGCACATTATTAATATTTGACACACTTAAGTTATTAAGAATTTCAAGTTTTTTTTAATGTTTTAGTTGTAGATGGACACAATACACTTATTTTATTTATTCATTTTTATGTCTTGCTGAGGATCAAACCCAGTGCCTCATGCATGCAAGGCAARTGCTCAACCACTGAGCCACAACCCCAGCCCAAGAATTTCAAGTTTAAAGAAGGAAAATAGTTGTTTAAATGTTGAGGCCATACCAATAAACTTTTAGGCATTTTTACCTGACGTACTCATTACTGAAAGTTGTTTTACATATAATATATTCAAACCCTACTGACTGTTAATGGCAAAAGTTACAACAAAATGTCAAATAGTAGAAAAACTTCCTATCAGGAAACAATTCATACCACTGTAATACAAATAGTAATTAAAATGTTCTGGCTTGGGGCAGTGGCACAGGCCTGTAATCCCAGYAGTTTAGAGGCTGAGACAGGAGGATCATGAGTTCAAAGCCAGCCTCAGCAAAAGTGAGATGCTGTTTCTAAATAAAATACAAAATAGGTCTGGGGATGTGGTTCAGTGGTTGATCGCCCCTGAGTTCAATCCCCAGTACTTCCCTCCCTTCCAACCCATGAAAGGTTCTGGATTTAGAAACTTACTCAGATATCATTAACTATTTAATATTTTTGCTGGACATGATGGTACATGCCTGTAATTCCAGCAACTCAGAAAGCTGAGGCAGGAAAATTGCAAGTTCAAAGTGAGCCTTAACAATTTAGTGATGCCGAAAGCAACTTATTGAGACTCTTTCCTAAAATAAAAAATTAAAAAGATCTGGAAATATGGCTCAGTGATTAATGCTTCCAGGTTTGATATCTGGTACCAATAAACAAAGAAACAAACAAATAAATCTTTTGTGGAATATAGATACATTAATGAAGTTGAGAAATTATTCTTTAGCATGTAGCCTTATAAATTAATTATAACAATGTATTTGGCCAGGGAAGGACTTTGAATTAATTTGGTTCTGGGAATAAAACAATTTTTATTTTATTTTATTCAGAATAAATTGTAGAGACTTCATATTGTTTCAAATTGTGAAAACCAAAGTTGAGGGCTGGGGATGTGGCTCAAGTGGTAGTGCGCTCGCCTGGCATGCGTGCGGTCCAGGTTCGATCCTCAGCACCACATGCAAACAAAAGATGTTGTGTCCGCTGAGAACTAAAAAAAAAAAAAATAAATATTAAAAAATTCTCTCTCTCTCYCCCTCTCTGTCTTTCTCTCACTCTCTCTTTAAAAACAAAAAACAAAAACCAAAGAAACCCAAAGTTGACTTATCAAGTATTTAATGTATATCTTTCCCTTATTAAGTGGTGGTATAATAAACAAGTGCACTTTGTTTTAGTCATTGGTTCTCATCACCTATTCACTATTCATTGCCAGAAATTACAGAGATGATTGACATAGATAAAGTTTCTGGTCTACTCTAAAGTGCTTATTTACACTGAAATAATTGGTAGGTAGAATGAGTTACATAAACAAAGTAAAGGGATATTGACATATTTTATACCAATAAGTTTGTCATTAATCTCTTAGATTTATACTTACATAGAATAATCTATAGCTCTCTCTCTTTTTTTTGTACCAGGAATTGAACTCATGAGGGGCATTTGACTCCTGAGCCATCTCAGCCCTATTTTGTGTTTTATTTAGAAACAGGGTCTCACTGAGTTGCTTAGGGCCTTGATTTTGCTGAGGCTGGCTTTGAACCCATGATCTGCCTGTCTCAGCCTCCCAAGCCTCTGGGATTACAGGCATGTGCCACCGTGTCTGGTTTCTAGCTCATTTATAAATTGACAAAACCCCCCAGATTTGAAAGATAGAATGCTTTTTATTTGGTACCAGGTATTAAACCCAAGGGTGCATAACCACTGAGCAACATCTACAGCTCTTTTTAAATTTTTTATTTTGAGATAGGGWCTTACTAAATTGCTRGGACTGGCTTTGAACTTGTGAGCCTCCTGCCTCAGCTTCCTAAGTTTCTGGGATTTTGAGCATGCACACTGTACCTGGCAAGATTACAATGTTTTAAAGTTTTTGTTTTTAAATGTGTGTCCTAACCATTTTTCTGAAATATAGGAATAGAAACTAAAATTAAACTTCTATTGCTCAATTATGTTTCCATACAGCTTTAAGTAAATATTTTTAATTTATAAAAATGTATGTATGCATTATCTCATTTGATCTTTATAGTAATTGTCTTATGCAAGTATCATCTCCATGTACATGTGAAGGAAGCATGAGGGACAGATATCAAAGAATCATAGTGATCAGGCATGGATGCAAGTAATGGTTTTCTGAACTAACTGGTGAAAGATGTTGAATTATAAGCCTAGAGATAGGTGGTCCAGGCTAGTGCAGGGGCTCAGCAGCACCATCATGGACCAAGGTCATCCTTTCCTCTCTGCCAATAAAGTGAGCTGGTTTTCTTCTTTATGCTTATTATAGTCTCATGGTTATCCTGTGGCTGCTGTATATTTATTTACTACATTGTCTTTCCAGCCAGTTGAAGGAAAAGAGGAAGGCAATGGAGCAAGAATAATTAATGAGGCTTTGTTTTTACTTTATTGGCTATGAGAGTCCTTCTGAGGGACTTTCTTCTAGTTTAAGGAAAAAATTTAAAAACCTGTACCTAGAACGGTTAGTTAGCTAAATAATTAGTGAGGCTTTGTTTTTACTTTCTTGGCTATGAGAGTCCTTCTGAGGGACTTATTTCTGCATTTGATTGACCAAAATTGGGTATTCAGCAGAGGAAGCTGGGAAATGGAATATTACAACTGGCTAGGCCCAGTAGCTGAGAAAGGCAGGAGAGAAGGGTGCTTTGAATGGTTTTGGGGTAGTCATTAATGCCACAGGGTCTGCCACATATATTGGGTCGGGACTTAGTGGTCACCTAAAACCCATTTCTTCATTTATAGAAGATAGAATATTATTAGGTACTGGCAGAATGATGAGTAAATAAGCTGGTTAATACAGAGGGACTGTGAAGTAAAATGCTTGCAATTTAGTAAATAGCTTCCAAGGAATTCAGCATCACTGCTCAGCAGTCTTTTTTCTTTGTTATTGTTTTAACTTAAAAAATCTTGTAGTTCAGAAAAATGGCTGTGATCAGTTTATTTTCTAAGGATTTATATTTTCTTATAAGTTCTGCACATTAACTGGTTGTGCTACTGGAGCTCCTACATTTTCTTTGCAGAGAATTTTTTTGGTTTGAGATTACCTGTCACGATGTAACATTCACTGTAATTTTTAAAGAAACTAGAAGTGTTAAGATGATTTTCCATATGTCCTAGCTTCTGATTTTGAATGTAGCCTCACAGAGGGAATTTTCCTGTCTAAACTCTGTTCTACTATTTCAGGATTGTTCTGCAGGCACTTTGCACATTTTCTAAGCATCTCTTTACACACCCTTCCTATTTTGGTTTACATCCCTATCATTTTTGCCATAGTTGTTGTGATATTTAGTGTTTCAGTTGTGACTGTGAGAAAGAATTCTGTTGGTTCTCCATTTGGTTTGATCTGTTTCAGCATCTGCTGTTCATTTAAATCTTCAAAACTTTGCCAAGTTATAGAAGGGACACTAGTAAGATAGATCTCATTACACCAGCCATCTGTGCTACGTGGCAGGTGTTCTTAACCCTGAAAAGTAGGATAGATGTGGGTGATTTGTATGTGAAAACATAAGAAAATATTTCATATTGTTGGCTTTTGGTACCTTTTTTWAAAAAAATGCTATTTTCTAAGTTAAGGTTTTATAAAAAAAATCTGCTGTCTCTTAACCAGAGACATAAAGTCTTTTCTTTTTCCCTGTTTGAAACCTTGAGAGACTTTTCAGTGGATCAGAATTTAAATTATTTTAGTTTCTGTTTTGCATTTTATTTGCTATGCAAAGAAACAACTTTTTTATTTTCAGAAAAAAATTTCTGACACATTTTTGTCACAAACGGATATATTGGCATTATTACTTAATGAACTTGGCAGCCACTAGACTAGAAGTGCTTCGATTTCTTTGGATTAGTTGTCAAAAAATTTTTGTGTTTGGAATAGGACAAGATAAAGTTATGACTTACATGGGCAGACACTCCAAATGACTCTGTTGGGTAATTTTCCTGAAAAGTGGTTTTAGAACAAGCATTAGTTGTTATTGGTGCTGTTGTTTTAATGGTTCAGTAAAATTCAGGATACTTCTGTGTRATATTCTATTCATTACTAAGTTGCATATATTTAAAATGACATTTTTATTTTTCATAGACAATGGGATGAACAGTTGGATCCTCGACTAAATGCAAAACAGAAAGAAGCTGTTCTGGCTATTACCACTCCACTTTCCATCCAGCTCCCACCTGTCCTCATCATTGGGCCCTATGGGACAGGCAAAACATTCACTCTAGCTCAGGCCGTCAAGCACATTCTGCAGCAGCACGAGACTAGGTGAGCAGCTGGGATGTATGCTAGTATTTCAAGAGCAGGGTGCTTCTTTTCTTCTTATTTTAAATACAAAATGAGTGCCAGCAAGACAGTTTTCACCTATCTCTTAAAGATTGAAAGAACAGAAAAAAGACTAAACCCAAAGTACTAAAATTTGAATTCTCTAGAAACACTGTTTTTAAAAATTGGTAATATAGAAAGTGATAGTTTTTAAATAGCCATCAAAACTTGAAGTCTGCCAAGGAATTGTAATATATGTTAAAGCCCAAAGAGCTGGGTTTAGAAAATTTCGTATTTATATGATAGATTTTAATATAATTTTGGGTAACTTCCTTTGTAGCTTAATGAGAAATGTTGTTTCCTAAAGGCGTCATTAAATAATAATGTTAGAGAGCACTGAGTAGGTTGGCAGAAATGTATGCTATTAAGATGGCCACTGCTTTTTTTTTTTTTTGGTATTATACTGCTTGAATAGTTTTGTGTTTTATCATTCTTTTTATTTGCACCATTTATTTCAGCAGGATTCTCATTTGCACCCATTCTAATAGTGCTGCTGATCTCTACATAAAGGATTATTTACATCCATATGTAGAAGCAGGCAATCCCCAGGCAAGACCTCTCAGGTATTTTTTAAGGCTTATTATGTATCTGTATCATACTTTGTTATTCTTAAGAAAAGGTGTCTGCAAAGATTTTAGTAACTTTGGATATACCAAAATCTTTAATTATGTATTGGCATTTGGAGGTTTTCTTTTGAATAATTAATTTTAAATAAGGCAAAATGTAAAAAAATCTTTAACCATTTATTACCTATAGAGAAAGACATCCTTTTTTAAGTTTTGTGTGTAAAAAATGTTACAACCTGAGTAAATTTTGATATGTACCTCTAAAAGCTGGTATGATAAAATAATAAATATGATAAATTAAAATCAAGTTTAAATTTACATTCTAGCACATTTAGTGTTGCAGAGTAGTCATGCAGTTTCAGCTTTATGGAAATAAACATTTGACTGTTATCATGCTGGTAATTTCGTGGAAGCTACATATTAGGAAGCATGAAATACTGAAATGCTTTCTGCAACAAAATGTAATTGACTAGAATTCACAATTTATTGTTACTGTTTAAAAGACATAATGTCAAAGAAAATTTTAAGTTGACATAGAAATGTCCTGTGAGTATTTGTAGACATGAAGTGTACTTAAATACAGGATTGTGGGGGAATAAAAATCCTTTTCTTCAGAAAACAATAAAGAATCATTAAATGATTATGTATTATACCATTTGTTTTCATTGCTATATGAAGTTAATGTTTAGTTTGCCATTTTACCAACTAATATATCATGGCCTAGGTTATTCAAATTACTATTAATTCTTGTTTATAAATTAATTTCTAACCACACACTTTTGATTCATAGTTCACTTAACTTTTTATTTCTAGTTGATCCCAGGCATGGAAAAATGAAATTATGCAATTTACTTCTTTAATAACCATAGCTAAAACCATTTAAATGATTTTAGAATTGTATTTAAACAAAAAAAAAAAAGAGAGAAAAAAGTGATGTTGGCTTGTTAATAGATTTTTTTTTTTTGCTATGTTTTTAGTGTAGAAGATAAAGCAGGAATAGTTATTTTACCTAGAATCTAGTTGTATTTAATAAGAAAGTATCATATGTAAACAATTGTAAGTGAAAATGTGGTATTTATTCAAGGGTAAATTCACCAATAATTACTTTGCTTCAGAATCTAATCTTGTTCAGATTTGAGTGAAAGTTGAATAGCTAGCATTTTTGCCATAAATGTTTTCACTCTCATGTTGATAAATTGTTTTCTTTGCTTTTATCATTGATAGAGCCTGTGTTTGTGTGGTTTTGTGTGTGTGTTTGTGTGTGTTGCGTGGGAAATGTGGCAATCTCATTTACCATTGTGCTTGATTTGGAAACAGTAGGGTAAAGTCTGCTCAAATCTTGGTGGACTTAGCATATTTCACTTGCTATTCGTGGTGGTAGAGCTATTGATGAAAGTAAAATTTATCATTTTGAAAGTTGTACTTAGCTTTTTCTGTTTAAAATTATTTTTTTGGAGGTTATAATCCAACATATAGTGCCTCTAAATGTGTAGAGTAAGAAGTTATATTCTTATGGTTGTATGGTTGTAGTGGCCCAAATATGGAAACTTACCTGTTTTAAAGAGGTCTCCCTGGGCTGGGGATGTGGCTCAAGCGTTGGCGCGCTCTCCTGGCATGCATGCGGCCCGGGTTCGATCCTCATCACCACATACAAAAGAAAACTGAGACGTTGTGTCTGCCGAAAACTAAAAGAAAAATAGGCATTAGGAAATTTCTCTCTCTCTCTCTCTCTCTCTCTCTTTCTTAAAAAAAAAAAAAAAAAAAAGAGGTCTCCCTGTTCCCACTTTTGAGACTAGTTCAGTCCGAGATGAAAAAGTATGATCAAATGCATATGATTTCATTTAGAAAATTGAATTAAATGAGAAAAAAACCCTGACTTCCCTGCATACTTTCTTCATATAAACCTACATTTTCCACTCTGTTTTCCTCTTTGGGTAATGTATTGACTTGTAAATGTATTTCCTGAGAAATACTTGTTAGGATTTATTAGCACCAGTAGGGAAAATTAGAGTGACTAACTGCTCTGGGGCGATCAGCTTTCTCCACATGATCCCAGGCTGCAGGGGAAGGAACACAAGAGGGCACCAAGTGTCTGCTCTGATCATGAAGGAGATGGATGTCTTCAGGGAGTGAAGGTTTGTTGTCTTTTGACAGTACTTTAGAGTCCAGCCCAGGAAACTTGATAGTGTGAGACTAGCCAGAGTAAATAGCACTAGTTAGTAGGTTTAAATATACTACATGTGATTCAAATTTATAAAATTCTCTTAGTTGCCAGGAGTTGAGCTGAGTTCCAGATATTGGGAGTGGAGGTTTTAGAAATCATTTTAGATTACATTTATTTTTACTTTTTACTTTATTCAGAAAGCAGTTTGTTTCTGTGCATGTTTCTGAGGATCATGCACAGAAACAAACTGCTTTCCCTATAGTCCATTTAGCAGGGAGAGGCCCTCTTTGGAGATTGACCGCTTCCTGGGCAAACTGGAAAAATTTGTTGTTGTAGAAAGATCTTTAAAGATGTAATTTTCTTCTGGTATCATGTTCTGATTCTTAATATGTTAACTAATATCATTCAGGAGCTTCATTATTGCATATGAATTCAATACATGAATAAGATTGCAGTGAATTATAATTACCAAACTATGTCCTATTTTAAGAATCATTATAAATCCTGTGGGATATTTGAGTTGTTTTGTTTCTAGAAAATATGTAAATTACGTAATTGGAGTCAATTAAGTACTTTGACCTTTTTGGAGGGTGGGTACTCGGTATTGAACCTAGAGGTGATCTACCACTGAGCTATACTCCCAGCTCTATTTACTTATTTATTTTAAAAGAGTATATTCCTTTTTTTTTAGACATTTATTTTATTTATGTTTTATGTGGTGCTGAGGATTGAACCCATGGTCTCACACGTGTGAGGCAAGCACTGTACCGCTGAGCCACAACCCCAGCCCTACTCCCAGCTCTTTTTATTTTGAGACAGAATCTTGCCAAATTGCCCAGACTGTCCTCAAACTTGGAATCCTTCTGCCTCAGCCTCGGTAGTAACTGGAATTCTGGTTCCTGCCAACGTACAGCCTTATACCCTCCCCCAGCCCTGCCCTACCCTAGGTGCTAGGAAAGGACCCAGGGTTTTGCACATGCACTCTTTCCACTGTGCTACATCCCCAGCTTATGTTTTACACTGTGAACTTGAGTGTCACTTTTTTTTTTTTAAAGATGGCAATGGCCTGTATTTTATTTATGCATTTATATGTGGTGCTGAGAATTGAACCCAGTGTCTCATATATGCCAGGCAAGTGCTCTACCACTGAGCCACAACCCCAGCCCCTTAAGTGTCACTTTTTACTATCAATTCTCAGATTTTGAAAAATGTTAGGTGTGTTTTAAATAATCTTACTGAAAGTATCTGTCTCATTAAATGTTGCATGAAATGACAATACAGAGAAAATATTTAAATCTTTTGAAAGTGAGCACTAGTGTTGTACTTTTAATAAAATAGTCAAGAGATCAAGCTTTGAATTCTTATGGCTTACTTTCTTATTCTTACTTGAGGTAACTTTCCAAGTAATGTGAAAAAGTCAGTAATGATATTTAGAACTTCAGGTTTTCTTTTTTTTCTTTCTTTCTTTCTTTCYTTTTTTTTTCCCTTTGAAGAAGAAGAATCAGGTTCCTGGAGTTAGTTGATAAGTAATTTGAAAAACCATTCTTTTCTATTTTACAATGAAATATTTATTGAAGTAAATAAGCACAAAGAAGAAAATCAATATTATCTATAGCCTCAGTATCCAGAGATAAACACTCACTACTAACACTTTGGAGTTAAGTCCTAATTGTTTCTATGCTTAATTACATTTACTGGGGTTAATGTGAATAGAATCATAGACAATTTGTAAAATGAGGTATTATTTAAAAGTAAATTTGCTTTGCTGATCTGATTAAACTTGTTTTATTAAAATATAAAACATATTTGAAAGTTTTGTCTCTTTTAGAAGTGGTAATTCTAAACTTTGACCAAGTTTACAATTCTTATCACCATAGTGTTTTTAAAATATCTTATTCCTCAATTATAATTTATATTGAGACATTTATTAAATAAGCTTTTTGCTCTGTTTACAATAAAAAAGAAAACCCTGTGTTACGTGTTTCACAGAGCTTGAGAACAGATTGTAGAAGTTTCTGAAGACTGGTTTTAATTGCTTGTATTCATGCCATCGTGTCACCTTTTACATTTGTGTGATGTAAATTGAATATTAACTGAGTATTAAAAATGCTGGTTTCAAAGCTGGGCATGGTGGTGCTTGCTTATAATCCCAGGTGCTCAGGAGGCTGAGTTAGGAGGATTCCAAGTGTGAGGCCAGCCTCAGCAAGGCCCTAAGCAACTCAATGAGACTGTCTTAAAATAAAAAATTAAAAGGGCTGGGGATGTGGCTCAGTGATAAAGTGCCCCTAGATTCAATGCTGCTTCTAGTGTCAGCTTTGCTGTGGGAAGTGGAGGACTTCTGTTTGTTGGTGCCAGGTATTCTGCTGCATATTATATATAATTTCTCTAAATCCTTGAGGTTGAGCTATTAGATCCATTTTGGAAATGAGAGTAGATGCATACTGATACAGCCCTTTGATTTAGAAAACTACCTTGACTTCATCTGTATTCCTCTATTGAAAATTTTTATAAATATTTGTATTCCCTGGCTCTACTTCCTATGTTCTCTTTGTCTTGAGCCCAGGTTATCAAAGTTTCCATCTTTACTTTTAATCTGAAACCATTATTTTGTGGTTACTAATGGTTTCCTTGTTTCTGAATCCTGTGGTCAGTTCTTATTTTATTCAGCCTCTTAGCAGCATTTGGTACTGTTACTCTTTATTTCTCTCTTGAAACAGTTTGTTCATTTTGTATCTAATACTCCCTACAGCTCCTGAATTCTCCCCTATTTCAGGCCCTCTCCCAGTTGCCTTACTTTATCCTACTCCTTTTCCCAGCCTCTAGATGTAGAAGT